CACTGAATTGCAGTAGGTGTGTATAATAGTTACGGTTCTGTGTCAGCTTGACTAGGCCAGGATTTCCAGTAGGTTTAGCAGTTGAGATATGCTTATTCCCATCATGATGAAACTTAATTCGGGCATAATTATTTCTATGATAAGTGGCTATGAGCAGTCAATCAATTAAAGGGATGCTTCCTTGGGGGTGTGGCCTGCTCCCAATATAATGGACACGTGAGTAAGATTCTCTCTCTCCTCTGCTGGGGACCTGGGACTCTACAATTGTAAGCCATTTCCTTGACAATAAACTTCTCTTTCTATATATACATATATGTTTCACTGGTTTCACCTCTCTAGAAAACCCAGCCTAAGACAGTGTGCAATGAGTTGGAGATAGTTAGTTATTTCTTTAGAACTCCTCACGGGGATGATAGCAGGTCTGGTTTGGAGGAATATTTTGGTAGTATGGGAGTGAGATTCTAGAAGACACAGACACTGTTGACTCTAGGTCAGGATTGCTGTCCTCTGCCACATTTGGGATACACAAGTCTGTTTCTCCTTGGGAAACCACAGTTCCAAACAAGATCCATTATGACTAAGGAAATGGCAGTTGGGCCTTCACCAAATGTTCCCCCCAGTGGTGTCATTCCAGCCAGTGCTGCAAAATACATTGAAAACTGTTAGCAGCATTGTTGTTAAGTGCTGTTGAGTTGGTTCCGACTCATAGTGACCTTATATCGGGTTTCTGAGGAGCAGCTGGTGGGTTTGAATCGTGAAACTTGTGGTTCAAACTGACTTTGTAGTCCAGTATATTATCCTTCAGCGCCATACCAGGACTCTTGTAAGCAGTATAGGAAGCTATTTTCTGCAGAGAATCCCGGCCAGGCTTTATGCCTTCTAGTATGGGGGCTGTCAAGAAACTGGTTGAGGAACAAAAAATCGCCCACCCAGACTCACTCAGGCTCTTATTTTCTGCCCCAACATTCCTAAATTTCTTTGCTGGAAACCTTCAGGTTTCTAATGTCATTTGCTGGACTATCCTCCACTGCCTTTGGATGGTGACTTAGTTGTCTCCATAACAAGCTCATAGTGTGTTGCTGTGGGTTAATGTGCCAGATTGTAAAGCCACATGAACCGCAAGGTTGGTGGTTCAAGCTCACCAGCTGCTCCTCGGAAACCCTATCCAGGGTCCCTATGGGTCAGAACCGACTCGATGGCACTTAACAACAACAACAACAACAACAACATAACTAGCTCATGTTCCTGATGAGAGGAAGAGTGGGAGGGACTTTTAGGAGAAGTAGATCTTGCTCAATTTAAGAGATGCCCAAAGCTGCATTTTGAATGAACTAGAACTTTCCACAGTATTCCCAGGTGGAGCTGTCTATCAAGCTGGGCTATCTCTTGACTGATACTTGATCTTCAGAAGATAATTAAAATTTGGGGGATCTGGTTGATTAATAGATGCTGCCTTTAGCCCAAAAGCAGATATGTGCTTTGAGTTGGACAGCTGTGACCATGAGGTGGTTCAGTGATACTGCTGAAGTAGGTTCTTAATACATGGCCTGAAGAGCTGGCCATTGTAGGAACATTTGTGCTGCCTATTCCCCTGCCCCTGAGGCCAGACAGCATCTCCTCAGTTACTGACGATCTCCTTTTCATGTAAGTGTGACCTTACCTCATCCTCTCTCCTTTTAGCACCCATACCTTCATGTTGACAATTGTGTTTGTCTTGTTCCTGACTTCAACTACAGCTTGCTCTTCCCCTGCAGCGGGGCCTAAACCCATGAGTGATGCTGAAGAAAGACTCCTTCCAAGGTTTGGCTAGGTCGGAGGGTGGGGAGCTTTTCGGGAATAACCTGGATGCTGGTTCTCTTTAAGACACACGTTTGGGGATAGCAAGGGAGAAGAGCCCATTGTCTTCTCTCAGTTCTCTCACTACTGCTGGGCTTGATGACTGTCTCTCCTCTTTCCAGGTTGGATTGGCACAATCTAATCCCTTCGTGGCTAAGACGACGCCACTTAGGGCTGCAGGCAAAAGGCCAGAACTTCATGCTGGAGGGGTCTGACTTCTGGATCTTAGGAGGCTCTGTACACTACTTCCGGGTGCCCAGGCAGTACTGGATGGACCGCTTGCTGAAGCTTAAGGCCTGTGGCTTAAATACCCTCACCACGTGAGTGCTGGCTCCAGCCCCATCACACCAACTGTAGTTGCCAAACAGGGGCTCCTGCCATCTACATCCTGGGCCCAGAGTCAAGGGCAAGTCCAGTTTGGGTTTTGTGTTAAGAAGGGATGAATCCCATCAGATCCCAAACATGAGTAACTTCTGTAAGTGAAAGCTTGGCTGGATTTTTTGAGGAAAAATATTGGAATTGGAATTAACCTAACCCCTCTGCTTAAGTCTAGAGGGTCAGATCCTCTTCCTCTCCCCTAACCTTCCCAGAACTCAAGATGAATGGAGACAATAAGATGTGAGATGTCAGTAAGGTCTAGAGAAATAGAGTTAGCAATGTTGTTGTACACAAGACTGTAGAGAAGGGAGTAAATATAGGAGAGAACTTCAAAAAGCTCATGGAAAAATTCCATTATCTTTTTTTTTAAATCAGTTTTATTTAAGAATTTCCAACATTGACAACTCTTACAAAAAGCATCCAAGCACAGGACACAGAACTGCAGCAAACAGCATTCTTCTGGGGAGCTAACAGACATTAGAACTTCCACCCTTCTTTGAGACACCCTGAGCTCACTGGTGAACTCCGCTTCCAAGTACTCCTGCAAAGCACACCACAAGCTCAGTCCATGTTCTCAACCCATCAGCTTCATTTCACTTTACCACACTTACATATCAGTAACAGAAGAGAACACATACCATACAGCATTCATAGCAGTTGACAAATGGGTAGGGGAAATACAAATACTGTTTCACTAACACATTCAACTTCCATTATCTTTTAATTCCATTTTTCCATAGACTTTTTGAAGGAGGTGAATACTATATCATGATTAATTTTTTTAACCCTTTGAATTATATAGCAAATAAATGTGATCTTCAAAATAGCTGCCATGAGAAATTGTTTTTTAGAGAAATCAAAAAGAGAAGCCTCTTTGGAATGATCTTAAAAATGCTGTGGCCTATCTTTCTAGCACCAAATACAGTGATTGGCACATGGTAATTATTCAAATAAAGGTCGAATGAATGAACAATTTAAAAAGTCTTAATCTTTTGTGGAGTTTAAAACTTTTTTTGGTTGCAAACTGATATTTGGATCCAAGTCTACGACATAAAGTGGGATATATAATAATATTCCATTTTCAGGCCCAAAAAAAGTGTGATTGTAAATCAAAGAGATGGATTTTTCTTGTGTTGCTTGTGAATCATCTTTGAAGATAATTCCCAAAAGGTGTTAGAGTTTGGGTATTTGAGTGGTGACAAAGTTCTTGAAACAACTGTGATACCTCTCAGAAAGACTGCTGTAAGGATCCATTTATTTGCATATGTAAATTCAAATAACACCTTATAGGACTCATGAATGGGTATTGTTAAGAATATTGCGGGATTAGCATTTTGCCTTACAAAGCAGGGCAATCTGTATTTGCTTAAAGAGAAAACTTTCAAGTCTGATTTGGAAGCAAAAAAGTCTTCTCTCCTTTCACTGTGCCTGTTTTCTCCAGTTGGAGAGGGCTCCACTGAAGGATGGGGTGGGTGGGGAGGATGGGAGTTGGGGGGTCTGTAGGCAGTGGAGCAGCTATTATCATTGCTATAAGATGTGAACTCATACCTTCTGCCTCTTGAGTCAGTCCCTTTCAAGACCCTACATTTCCTTATCTTCTCTTGAGTGTTGGTTGGTTGGTTGGTTAGGTGCCATGGAGTTGGTTCCGACTCATAGCGACCCTGTACAGGGTTTCCGAGGCTGTAAATCTTTAAGGGAGCAGAACAGCTGATAGCTTCTAACTGCTGACTGTAAGGTTTGCAGCCCGATTCATAATCACTATGCTACCAGAGCTCCTTCTCTTTAGAGTTAGAACCTCCATTTTGCTGCCTTTTGGAATCACGTGTATACCCGCTGTGGCACTGTGGGTTAGTGTTGGGCTGCAAAAGATGGTGAAAGCTCACCAGCCACTTCTTGGAAACCTTATACAGGGTCTCTATGAGTCAGGACAGACTCTATGGCACTTAACAACAACAACATCAGAAAAACTAGGGCTGACAACTGGCTTCTCTTTTTCTCCTACTTTTTTTTTTTTAATAAGTTATTTTTATTTATTGTTGTTGTTGAGAATATATACAGCAGAAATATATACCAATTCAAGTTCCTACATCTGCTAAACTACTGTTTGGTTTTAAAAAGACTTCAGGGGATAATTCTGGTTTAAGGCATAAAGATTATATTAGGGCTCTTTCCTATTTTTTAATTCTTTTCCTATGAAGTGACATCTTCTTGGAGAGAGAGAGAGATGACATAAATCTCTAATTTAGCATGTCTGTACCTCACACAAATCTTGTTGACATTCTCTCCCTTCCCCTGAGGTGAGCTGACATTAGGCTCCCCAGGACTTCCTTTGGGTTCTCTAAGGTTCCTTTTCATTAGTTGCCACTAAATCATGATGACCCTATCAATACTAAACAGAATGTTTGAGTTCATTCTGTAGGACCTTCCTGCATCTACACAGGGGCTTGTCTTCTAGCACTATATGGATAATGTTTTGTTATGATTCATAGGTTTTCATTGACTCATTTTGTGGATGGACCCAGTGGTTGCACCCATGGGCTCAGACATATCAGGAGTTGTGAGGATGGCACAGGATAGGGCAGTGTTTTATTCTACTGTGCATGGGATTGCTATGAGTTGGCATCGACTTGACAGCACCTAACAACAACAATAATTTTGGGAAGTAGTTTCAGGCCTTTCTTCCTAGCCTGTCTTAGTCTGGAAGCTCTGCTGAAATCTGTCCACCATGAGTGAACCTGCTGGTATTTGAAATACCAGGGGTTTAGCTTTCTGCATCATGGCAATATGCATATCACCGCAGTATGACAAATTGGCAGATGGGATGTAGTCGAGGCCCTGAGAGGTCTTCAGTCAGTTCTTGGTTCTAGTCCCAAAGGCATTAAGACAATGTATTTAAGAAACACATCTTCAATAGTGAGTGTTGGTTTTAGAGATAAAGAAGGTAATCTGGGATATGAAATGGAATGAGTTAAAAGTTCTTGCCTGTCATTATATTTCTATTACAGCTATGTTCCGTGGAACCTCCATGAGCCAGAAAGAAACAAGTTTGACTTCTCTGGAAACCTGGATCTGGAGTAGGTGTTGGTGTTACTTCTGCTGCCAGACCCTAGGTGGGACACAGAGAGGTGGCCACCTGGGATTCCTAAAGGACAATGATGCATTCCTGGAAGAGGTAGTCTGGAGTCTCAGGATGCTTGGAAAGGCTCAACACCTGGAACCAGATACTCTCTAAATGGACACCCCTGGTGGGGTGGGGTCTACAGCCTCTTTGCCAAGACTTCTTACTGTACCCACAGAGACTGCCCAAGACCCTGGAGGGAGGCATGAGTGCAGTGTGGGCCCATTACATGGCTGGGACAGGGGCTTTAATTCGGGGTCAGTTTCACTGTTATGACCTCACTATCACCTTCTGTGAGTCTTTCATTAAACCCCCATGAGTCTGTGCAAATAGTGAAAAGCCCATTCCCAAGGATACCCCTACCTTTGTAGTCCCTTCTCTGCTGGTCAGAGGCTGCAGTGTTTGCTTCACTGACTTTGTCCCTCTGGTTGAAAGAGTGCAGTGAGGCTAGGAGGTAACAGCTCCCCCTCTACACACCTACTCTTGAATTCTGTGCACCATGCTGGGCAAACTTCCTCTCTCCTCTATGATTTGGATTCCCTCCACCCAGCACTCCAGCCTCAGCTCTGCCTTCATAGAGTCACTGACCCTGTCTTCCTCCCTAGGGCCTTTATCTGGATGGCAGCGGAGCTTGGACTCTGGGTGATTCTGCGTCCAGGCCCCTATATCTGCAGTGAGATTGACCTTGGGGGCTTGCCCAGGTGAGCAAGGCAGGGAATGGCCTCAAGCCACAGTCTTGTGTTCTGCAAAATGCTAATCACAAAAACAGGTCCATTGTATTTTTAAAGCACATGATTCCATTCTGTACTATATTTCAGAATAAGTAGAGCCCGAAAAGAATCACTTGAAATAATGTGATAATAATTTCCCAGTAAAAATCCAGTCTCTCCCCCCACCCCCAAACCCCGCTCCCCCATGTATCCAACAGCAGATGGAAGAGTTGGCCACTTCCAAGGCATTTTACTTCATCAGGGTTCTACTATTTAGTTGAAACTGCAGCAAAGTTGGTTAACTTTGCAAGAAACTCACTTTCTCTGTCCATAAAATAGGAAAAATACAACCTGTCTTGTCGATTTCTCAGGAATGTTATCAATATTTCTGAAAAGTTACATCTTCAAATCACAGACATTAATTTACTTTATCTTACGTGTAGTAGCAGGAGAATCTCTTATTGGAATAGAAACCTGAATAAGAATCATCCCTAGTTGCCCTAATTGAGGTCATTATTTCCTAGTAACAGCGTTTCTTGTTGGTATCGAAGTCTTCACCATCCTTACACTGCACCAGATGGTTAGACTCCCTCCCAGGAGGCCAGAAAGCAGTCCTGTGTGTTGTGAGCAATCCTGGGGGAGCAGCCTCTCACAGCACAGCTGCACAATGCCACTTGTTTTCCATATCCAGTATGACTTGACTTAGCCCTTCCCTGAGGGCACTGTGGGTTTTGTCCTGTTCCTCCACATCTCTGTGTTGTCCTGGCTGGCACTTAGAGCAGCCCAGAGAGGCCCCTGACCTATGGATAAGAAATTGGGGCACCTTGGTCAGAGCTTTCCTTGGGCTCAGCAGGGCCGACCACACTAGGAAGACAGGATCTAATAGTCATAATTCAGAAGCATGTCACTAACACATAGGCCTCACCTGTGCCTGATTGCTGCTAAAGGTACAGACACAAGGGACACCTACCTAAGGAAGCATCTGGGAGCACTGAACAACAGACAGGATGCTAAAACTGAGAGGGAACAAAAAACTAGGCTATGGGGGTATTTGTGGAGGTACTAACCTGAAAGAAACAACTCTCTCCTCATCCGTCTTTACCTGGAATAAAAGGTTACCTTTCTGACCTGGTTCAGGAATTCCAGACCAGGGCAAGAGAAGCATTAAGACTTTTGTTAGAAAAGTGATTTCTGAGAATTTCATGTATGAAAGGAAAATATCATGGAATGAATCCCTGGTACTCTCTTCATCTGTGGAGGTTTGTGACCACAATACTTAAGTTATAAGAAGCTCATCTTTTTGCTCATGGCTCCTTTCTGGGCTGAGCTTTGCATAGCTGGTGGGGCTGTGAAAATGCATGAGCAAGACAGCAGAGTTGCATCTCTTGACTCAGTCTCAAGCCTATTTTTCTGGGAGATGGGGAAAGGTGGGCCGAGTCTGTGTTTTTCTCTGTCCTCAGTGGTCCCTGGCCCATTTTGTAAGCAAATTACAATGTCAATGATGAAAACTGGGTTGGAATGGAATTCTTTGACTGGGTCCAATGAAGAACTTCTCTCACTTTGACCTGTAACCCTGCTGTGAAGTGGGAATTATGGTCCCTGCTGGGGCTGGTGTCCTTTAGTAGTGACACAGTGATGGCTTCATGCTCTGGCAGGTTTTGAACAGTCCCCTCACTTTAGGACTGGAAGGAATTACCGAGGGGTGAGATGAATATGAAGCTGCTCCTATTTTACTCTATTGTAACCGTGTCCCGTTCAAGTCACAGACAGTGAAACTAATACTCCCTCTTCTTGCTCCAAGCTGGCTACTGCAAGACCCTGACATGAAGCTGAGAACCACGTACAAGGGCTTTACTGAGGCTGTGGACCACTATTTTGATCACCTGATGTCCAGGGTGGTCCCACTCCAGGTAAAAGCTGACTCATTCCTTTCTTCTTTGTTTGCCTTCCTGTTGGTAGTACATAGTCTTTGACTAGCTTTCGGCCAAGGGTTTCCCCAAGCCTTTTGACACAGCAACACAAACTTCCTCACTGCCTGATTATTGGCCTGATGATTTATAATGAGGGTGTCAAACCAGTTCAAACTGGTTCAGCCATAACCTGTGGAAGTGAAATCAGGACTGACTGGAATTTGCAAAATATGGGTGCCTAGTACAATCACTAAGGAGCTCTCGTAGCATAGTGGTTACGAATCAGGCTGCTAACCTCATAGTCAGATGTTTGAAACTACCAGCTGTTCCGCGGGAGAAAGATGAGGCTTTCTGCTCCTATAAAGATTTACAGCCTCAGAAACCCTGTAAAGGGGTGCTGTGAGTCGGAAGCGATTCCATGGCACATAAGAACACCACCACCAACAACAAGTACAGTCACTGGAATGGGAAAAGTCATGGGTAAAAGTCTTGGAATGGGAGTCTAGGAAGAGGTATAGTGGGCCCTTTCTGGAGCTTGATGCACGAGGTTGGACTATTGATAGGACTGTGGACAGCAAAACACAAAGTAGTGCAACCAGCTGTGACCTTTGAGTAGGTCACTGATGTTTCAGTCTCTGTTGATTAGGATATTTGGTTGCTATGCAACACACACAGCATTGCCCTTGTTTTCTAAGAGAGAGATTATGTTCTAGCAGGACGTCGAGCATAATTTTCTTGTTCTGGGTTGTTCTAGGCACTTGCATTTGTAAATTTCAATATGCCCTTAGCGGCCCTTCATCAGCCATGAACGAACCATAAATGAACAAATCATTGTGTTATTAGTATTTACTTACAACTGGGTGGAAGACAGTAACTTAGTCTGTGAAGTAGAAAAAGGCAGATATAAAGTTGTAGAAAAACTCTCAAGAGTCACAGGAAGAACTGGTTTTGGGGCAAGCATCTTAAGCTCATGGACTAATTATAAGCAATGCACAAGTCATATTAGGAATAATTAACACAGTTGCTTGTGTAAAATGAAAGAATCAGATTAAACCTGAGCACATCAAGAAAAAAATTAGTATGTCAATGAAAAATATGACATTAATTCTGTTCACAGAGTGTATGTTCGGACCGAACCTAGATCAAAGGGGAGTGTTTGATCATTCACACTTGACTCCCAGTTATATGTGAAATTTTAAATCTCCAATGAATATTATTTTTAATATAAGTATATCTCAAATCATAGGACATACTTATACTAAAACCTACTTACTGTCTTCTAAAATTCAAATGGAACTGGGTGTCCTGTGTTTTCATTTGCCAATTCTGACAATCCTGATCTTGTCGGAAGCAAGAAGTGAGGAAGTTATTTGCCTAAGTTATTCAGACAAGATCAGCTTTCTGGAGTTGTTTAACTACAGCTGACCCAGCAGGTTGTAGTTGTAGGTTGGGTAGTAGAGGTACAGGTGGGAACAGTAGAGAAAGTCCTGCAAGGAATCCTTAATCACAGAAACTGAATACCAGGCCTTTTGAGACTATTGCTTTCAAATGGAGCATTTTATTAGTAATTAGTAATAAAAACCCAAGCCAACTCCCATCTAGTCAATTGTCATGTTGTTGTTGTTGTTACATGCCGTCAAGTTGGTTCTGACTTATAGTAATCCTCTATAGGGTTTCTGAGGAGCAACTGGTGAGTTTGAACTGCCAACCTTGCAGTTCAACCTGACTTTGCAGTCCAGTGCTTATCTATTGACCCTTTATAAGGTTTTTGAGATTGTAATTTATATGAACAGACAGATTGATTTTTCTCCGTTGGAGCAGCTGGTGGTTTTGATTAATTGATCTTGGGGTTAGCAGTCTAACTCCTAACCCACAACACCACATTACTTTAATTAGTAATGTTGCTATTAAGTGATGAAGAGTTGGTTCCAACTCAGTCGAGCAGCTGGCGGGTTTGAACTGCTGACCTTGCTGTTAGCAGTGGTGGTGGTTGTATGCCACTGAGTCAGTTTTGACTCATACTGAGTCATAGTGACCCCGTACAGGGTTTCCAAGGCTGTAAATTTTTATGGGAGCAGAAAGTCTCATCCTTCTCCCATGAAACGACTGGACTGGTAGATTCGAACTTCTGACCTTGTGGCTATAAGCCCTACTCATAATCCACTATGCTACCAGGGCTCCTTCCTAATTAGTAATGTTATTATTTTTATTTAGTGCCATTGAATCGGCTCTGACACATAGTTAACTCGTATATCGTTTCCTAGGAGTGGCTGTTGAGTTTGAACCGCTGATCTTGCAATTCAAACCGACCTTGCAGTCCAGTGCCAGACCAGGACCCTAATTAGTAATGGGCGGTGCATTTAGGTATTCCAGTTCCCTCTGCCAACTCAGTTTCTGATTTTTTATCTTTTCTTGTAGTACAAGCTTGGAGGACCCATTATTGCTGTTCAGGTAGAGAATGAATATGGTTCCTATTACAAAGACCCAGCCTATATGCCATACGTCAAGAAGGTAAGAGCAAATCGATTTGTTTCTTACTTGTATTTTGATCATTTCTACACATAGCAGAGACTTCTGACCTTCCTTTGATTTGACCTCTTCCCCCAGGGCTCTTCCTAAGAGGGAGTGGGTGAGGAAGCTCTGTTCAAGCCTTAGCTTCTTCCCACGTTTGCTCTGCATGGCTTTAATTAAGCTTTTTTGTTCAACATAGGGAAATCATTGTGTTATTAGTATTTACTTACAACTGGGCGGAAGACAGAGTAACTTAATCTGTGAAGTAGAAAAAGGCAGATATAAAGTAGTAGAAAAACTCTCAAGAGTCAAAATAACAATAATAAAAAGGATAATTTATTTAGCATTTTTACATGGTAATTTCACATTATAATGCCATTGTATGCCTAATCAGCTTATTAATACAAGTTGAGAAGAGACATTTAAATATATTCATAACCATAAAATATCATAGATTATTAATACTATTGAACAAGTATGTTTTTAAGCTCTAAGTCTAAGATTATGATAACTTTTTCTGCTCCTATCATAATCTGTTTTGGGCTCCTGGTGTGGGGTTGTAGGATTAGCACTGGACTTCGAGCCACAGAGTCAGCAGTTCAAACCTACCTGCTGCTCCTCGGGAACCCTATACAGGGTCACTATGAGTTGGAACCAACTCGACGGCGCTTAACAACAACTGCTACGTGTTCTGTCTTATTTCTTTGAAGAATGGCACACATTTATAGAGCTATGAGAATTATCTGAGTTTCTTTCTCCTCCCAGTCTATTAACATTTTTGTCACATATGTGAATTTCTGCTAATTTAATGAGTAATAGGAGTCCTGGTGTGGTGCTGTGTGTTAATGTGTCAGACTGCAAAGTCGTTTGAACTGCAAGGTCTGTGGTTCAAGCTCACCAGCTTGGAAACCCTATACGGGGTCGCTATGGGTCAGAATCGACTCTATGGCACTTAACAACAACAAGGAGTACCTTAAGTGGCTGTCACATGTATGTCAAGAGTGGATTATTGTTTTATTTGTTCGCTCTGATATACTCATCCATATTCGCTAATGCTTTGTTACTGCTTTCTAGATTTTTATTAATTGCCTATACTTTCTTGACTTCAGGTTTACAGACCCTAAACATTTATATAGAAAATATTTCTCAGCATGCATATTGCCAGTGTTTTTCATATTGATTAGTTTTTATTTTAATATGTTTTTCCTATTTATTCATTAATGTACTCAGTTGTTATTTTTTGAGTACCTACTATGTGGCAGTTACAACGTGGAACGAGGGAGATCATTGCTGATGTCTGATGCATCTTGGCTGAAAGCAGAGAATATCAGAAAGATGTTTACCTGTGCTTTATTGACTACGCAAAGGCTTTCGATTGTGTGGATCATGACAAGCTATGGACAACATTGCGAAGTATGGGTATTCCAGAACACTTAATTGTGCTCATGAGGAATCTGTACCTGGACCAATAGGCAGTTGTTCGAATAGAACATGGGAACACTGAATGTTTTAAAATTAAGAAAGGTGTGCGACAGGGTTGTATTCTTTCACCATATTTATTCAACTTGTATGCTGAGCAAATAATATGAGAAGCTGGGTTCAATGAAGAAAAACATGGCATCAGGATTGGAGGAAGACTCATTAACAACTTGCGATATGCAGATGATACAACCTTGCTTGCTGAAAGTGAAGAGGACTTTAAACATTTACTGGTAAAGATCAAAGAGCACAGCCTTCGGTATGGATTACATCTCAATGTAAAGAATACAAAAATCCTTACCACTGGACCAATAAACAACATTGTTATCAATGGAGAAAAGATTGAAGTTATCAAGGACTTTATTCTTCTTGGATCACCTGTCAACACTCATGGAAGCAGTAGTCAAGAAATCAAATGACGTATTGCATTAGGCAAATCTGCTGCACAGGAACTTTTTAAAGTGTTGAAGAGCAAAGATGTCAGCTTGAGGACTAAGGTGTGCCTGACCCGAGCCATGGTATTTTCAATAACCTCATATGCATGTGAAAGCTGGACAGTGAATTAGGAAGACCGTAGAATAATTGATGCTTTTGAGTTATGGTGTTGGAGGAGAATATCGAAAGTGCCATGGGTTGCCAGAAGAACCAATAGATCCGTTTTGGAAGAAGTGCAGCCAGAGTGCTCCTTAGTGGCCAAACTTTATCTCTCATACTTTGGACATATAATCAGGAGGAACCAGTCACTGGAGAAGGATGTCATGTTTAGTAAGGTGGAGGGTCAGAGAAAAAGAGGAAGACCCTCAACGAGATGGATTGGCCAAGTGGCAGCATCGATGGACTCAAGCCTGGCAACAGTAGTAAGGTTGGCTCAGGATTGGGCAGTGTTTCGTTCTGCTGTGCATAATGTTGCTATGGGTTGGTACTGACTTGATCACACCTAACAACAACAATTATGTGACAGATACTATCGTAAACTCAGTAAACACCCCTCTTTTTTTTTTTAAGTTTTTTTTTTTTCTTCAGTTCTCAAAACTTGCCTCCCTTTCATGTTTGACCAAAGCACCAATTCAGTTCTTGAGAATTGTAGAGTTACTTAGTGGCACTTGACTAATTGTCTGGAATATTTGTGGGCTATGGTGTGACTGTGGGTCTAATGGTTTTCTTATATAGACACCACATTTCCCAACAGCATTTATTGATTAATGAGTCCTTACTTCATATTTTCATTTCAACAGGGTTGTCCCTCATCTGCTCTTTATTGATTGATTGAGTCTAATTTGAGGGCTGCAGTTCTCCTGTATGGGTATGGCTTTTTGCAGATGCTTTACTGAGCAGTCACACTGACCACCCAGTGGTGTTGCCGGGCTAAGGAAAATGCATTTCACCTAGTTGTGAGGCACCAGTCCTTCCTTGGCTGCACAGTGGCTTCACTGACATTTTAAAGCTCCCTGTGCCCAGCTCTGTACTGTGCTAATCAAATCCGGATTTCTGGGTGGTACTCGGGCATCTGAGTCCCATGTGGGACTGAGCTTGAGAAGCATTGATTCAATATGGTCTCAATTGGGTCAGGGGAGTGCAGAGACTGAGTAGGAATGGAAAGAATAATCGTAATATTCGAAAGAGCAGTGATCTAGAATCAGTGACTTAATTTTTCTGGGTCTATAAGTACTTACCCCTTTGCATTGTGATATTATGGGAGTCGTTCATAAACCAGACTTGTATAGAGTCTGTAGAATTGGTTTTGAAAGACTTTGGAGTTCAGCCACAGTATGAGTTGTAAAAATGCAAATAAGCCTCAGACATCACACCCAATTTAAGGTGGCCTTGATTTCGGCCTTAACACCCTGAACAGTGTGTCTCTTGAGTCACATACAGATTAATTTTCTATCCAAAGACTTATAGGTTTCTGCTGCTTGTAGGTTCCTATCCACTCTCCCTCCCTTCTCTGGAAACCACTCTTTATAGGGAACAAGGGTGCCTTCAGGAAGTGTGGCACTGCTAACGCTGGAAACTGGAGAGGAACTCTCTGATGATGCAGCCCCAACCACAGGACCTGGACGAGAGCACACTTCCAGCTCCTTCTCTTTGATTAGCACAAGTGGTCCCAGTCAGGCCCAGGTGGGGCACTTCTCCACCACACCTCATTCTAGTGGATGCCTCTTGGGGCCCTAGAGCGTCAGCTGCTGTTTACTTACGCAGCTGCAGAAAAGGAGGCTTCACAGAAGAGGAGGAGAGCTTGCAGCTCGTTCAGTCCTGGCTCCCTGGTGTCTGGAGAAAGGGGCTGGTGTCTGAGGCAGTGGGCAAAAGCAGCCTCAGCCCCCAGACCCTGCCAGCTGGAGGCCCCTCAGAGGCCCCTTCCTGAGCTGTTGTGGTTTTTCCCTCTGGTGCTGGATGGCTATAGACACAGCATAGGATGGCCAAGGGCAGTGTGCCTCAACCTTCCAAGTCTTAGTTTTATCATGTGCAACGTGGAGACCAGAACACCTTTTTATAGACTTCTGTGAGAACTGGGTGCTGTCACCAGATTTGGTATGTCGCTACTGCTCAGTAGATACTAATTATTGCTTACTCCACTGATACGGAGTCAATTAAATGCTTGTGAAAACTCACATATAAATTGTGAAGATGATGATTATCCATGTGTATGCCATCTCAACCCACTTGAGGCTGTATGTATACCGTAGGAATCTAAGTAAATATGTGTCAAGTATCAATGCATGACTGGGTGGGTAATTGCGAGATAGATCCATGACTTTTGATGAAAGTTCCCATGGCTTAAAGTCCCGTAGCTTAAACTGTCACTGAGGGTGACAGCCCTTTCCAGCAGCCAAGGTTAGGCACATGTGACATTCACCCACCAGATTCTCTCTCTCTCTGCCTCCCCTATTTCCTAACAAATTCAGCTGAAGTAAGCAGTCTTATTCTAATAGCTGCTGGGACAGTTACTGGAAGAGTCCCTTGCTGGGGTCCCTGTGCCTCAGGGCACAGCCAGAAGGCTTCAGGGTCTGGTCCATATCTCATGTAGCCCACTTGCCTGAAAAATGAAGATCCACTGTGGAGTTGAGGAAGACAGTCTATTGCCAAGTGCTTAGCAGAAGACCTGGGACTAGTAAATGATCCACAAGTGCTAACAGCTCTCATCTGTGATCATAGTGCTTACCACCCCTCAAGCACGGTGTGTACTCATACCTCTTACCAACCCTTAAGCACGGTGTGTGCTCATACCTCTTGGTGCCTTTGGCATTAGCTCTCAGTGTTTCCCGCAGCATCAGGTTGTGGTTGCTGTTAAGTGCCGTCGAGTCAATCCCGACCCATAGCGACCCTGTATAGGGTTTCCAAGGAGCAGCTGGTGAGCTTGGACCACTGACCTTGCAGTTCAAATGACTTTGCATTCTGACGCATTAGCCCACAGTGGTTCCATAAAATGCTATGGGCATGTGAGTTCCTGGTTCAGCCTTGCTGGACTGGATATGGGAGAGTGCTGGCTGCTTGCTCCTGGTATGGGTTGAGGGGCTTAGGTGGGTGCTGTCCTGGAGGCCCTGACCACTATAGAACCTAGTGGGCAGTGTTAGGTGACCATGTGGCAGTGGTTCTGCAGCACTGCCCTCTGGGTAGGCCTATCAGACACAGCGTACCAGTTAGATAGGAACCGCGTCCAGATCAGGAGTGACTAAGGTCACCCAGCACGTGACAGCCTTTTCTTTGTTATGACTAGAATTGGGGATTTCCTGAATGCAGTGGGACAGAAAAGTACATACTTTATTTCATTTCTGTCACTTTTCCTCAGCAGGCTGCCCACCCAGCTGCTTGACACTTTGAGGATGCTTTAAGGAGTAAGGACAGACTTCGATAACGTCTCCTTTTCCCCACAGGCCTTAGAGGATCGAGGCATTGTGGAGCTGCTTTTCACCTCAGACAACAAGGATGGCCTGAGCAAGGGAGTTGTCCATGGAGGTACTACATGGGGATTGTGCAGGAGAGCCATCGTCTGGATAGGTCTGGCTCACTGATGCCTGCTCTTCTCCTGTTTTCATAGCGCGGGTCCTGAAGCTTTGGTCTTAAAAGAATCAGAGAGTCCACATCAGAGATGGCTCTGTAGGACCCAGCCTTGTAGCTGGTCTCCCATGTCTGCTGGTCACTCCTGACCTTTTGTACTCAGGACTCAAGCAGTACTCTTCAGACCCAAGGTCAGGGGATGGTGGGGTAGAATCTGAACAGGCCATGGGGCTGAGCACACGAAACACTGGGCGATTGTGAGAGTGGTTTACTCAGAGCCTGACAAAATCTTATGGATAACTGACCTTTTCTCAAGGGTCCACCATGGCCTTCACAGGTTTGAGTATGGGGCTGGGCAGGTGGGTGCAGTGTAGGTGGTAAGGCTGTCTTTAATCCCCAGCATCAGTATCTCTGCTGTTCCTTCTTATTACTCTAGATGGGTTGGCCAAGCTGAGTTTCCGGCCTGAACAGCCCACACTTTGGCATTGAATCCTTTGTCCTCTCTTGCTCAGGCAGTTTCCCCTTCTGTCTTATATCCCTACATCGATTCTCTCTACTGGGTCATTGCCATCTATATGTAAGCATATTATTTCTCCCTTCTAAGAACTATCTTATTTTCATGTTGTCCAGAGATTGTTCTAGTTCTCTGTTCCCCTTCACCATCCATACTCAATCCTTTTCCATGGGTTCTCTCTTAAGCCATTTTCATCATGCCTCTTTCTCACCTCAGTCACCAGTGAGTTCTGCATATAAATGTGAATTCCTAGTACTGATCACTTTGGACTTGTCTGATTTTATTTGGCAGAGATCACAACCTTTGTTTCTTGAAATAGTCCTCATTTCGCTGCCAGAACACATTGTTTTCTGTTTTCTGCTGGCCACCTTTCACCTCCCTGGTCTCTCAATGTTGAAATTCTGTGTGGCTCTCTCCTTGGAGTTCTCACCTAGATTCATGTCATCAAATGCTTTCTATGTGCTGTTGAGTCTGACATTTATGTCTCCATCCCCTGGGACTTTTCCCTGCATCCCTCTGCCACCTGATACCCTCACGGGGATATCTGATTGGCTTCTCAAGTGTGACAAGCTTAGCGCTGAACTTCTGAGGCTTCCTCTCTCCAAAAACCTGTTCAACGTTTTCAACAGTCTCCCTTTTATTAGTCAATTGTAGCTCCAGTTTTGCTCCCTTTGTACATAGTTATTCTGGCCTCCTGACATACAGTCCATCACCAAATCCATTGGTTTTATCTTTAAACTGTTTCCAGAGTTCAAATGCTTTGCCACCTTAAGTTTATGATGTTTCACACTTGGCATTATTACAGTAGCACTTTAATTGACCTCTTTTTGTTGCCTGCCCTGCAACTTTTGTTCAGCAGAGCAGCCTGTGCGCACCTTGTAACATGTAGCTCAGATCATCTCACCACCGCTTGAGCGTGGAGGGCTCCCAGCCTTGTGAACAGAGAAAACCTGGATCATGAGAATGTCCTAGGAAGCTGGCCCCTACCCTTGCCCTTGGGACCTGGTGACCTCCTGCTGTCTTGGCTGCCACCCTCCTTCCTCTGTGCTGCAGCGTGGACATCCAGGACACGCTCCAGCATCAGTGACTTGGCACTTATGCTATTTCCACATCGTTCCATGGTTTATTCCCACACTTCCTTCATGTCTTTTCTCAAATGCTGCCTTCTCTGATTGCTGTCTTTAAACCTGCAAATCCCTTTCCAGTTCACTTGGTCCTTTCTCCCTGTGGCTTTATTTTTCTTCATAGCATTTATTGCCCCCAAATACTCTGTGTAGTTTGTTGATTTGACTTACCTTTTTCATCACAGAGGTGAGCTCCACAGGGCTTGGGTTTGTTTCATTCTGGCTGCCTCTCTCTCCTGGACACAAGTCTGTTGGCTGAAGGGATGAGCCTGTGAATGAGGGGCCCCATCAGGAACTGTGGCCATCCTTGGGCTGCTGGATCTGTGCCTACCTTCAGTGCTAGCACAGCTATGCTTTGTTTTGTTTCCTTTGTGCTTCACTCCGCTAGGTTGAGCAGCTTGAAAGTAGGAATCTTTAGCTCTGTGTCCCTTGAACAGTGGTGTGTAGTTGACTGTTGAATGAATGAGGAGAAGAAGGCTCTTGTCCACAGGCAGAGCTAGTTAGTCAGAGGACCAGATTCCCTAATTGTGTGAAGAAGCTAAGTGAAGGGGAGAAGGAATCTAGTTCCGCTCAGAACAGGAGCGTTTCCCATTCTGTCCACACGGTGGCACTGCATCCCCACTGCTGGGGCCTCTGGGTGCGGTTGTCTGCAGAGTGCTTGCTTTGTAAGAGAGACACCTTTAGGTGCCGATGCACAATTTCACTGCTTTTGCTGCCTACTAATTAAAGACCTGTGAATGCTGGGGTCCTCCAGAGGAAACTTGTATTCTCAGTCTCTTCCCTCCTTCATTGCAAACCCATTACACTCTGAGGCCTCTGGGATTGACTCAGATTTAAGAATGAGAGATTAAAAACCCACCTGCAAACTTTGTGTGTGAGAAGCTTTGTTGGTGGGCGTGCTTCTTTTTGGGGTGGCTGCTACACTGGAGGAAACCGAGATGTGCTCTTCATGTATGGAGACATTGCTTATAATGCAATTATGTTTCTCCAGAGCATATTCCTTTGGTTTCTTGTCGTAGATGCACAAGTTAACAGGTGTAGAAATAGGCCAGGGTGGTCCATTGTTCAGATAGTCCCCATTTCCCTGCTTCCAGTTTTTCTTTTCATATTTCAGTTCCACTGATATTTCCCAGCCTCTGATTGTCCTGGTTCTGTTTTCCCGGAGAGGTGTAACAGGGATGGGAAGAAAGACCTCTCACCTCATATTCTTCCTGGTGCAGGTACCTCAAAGGTAGGGTGAGGTGCTAGGCTAAGGTGGCGAGTGGGTGTGACTTCTGCCATTGTCTTTGGTCACGTACCATTCCTCTACTCTTTGTCAGCCTCCCAAGATTTTTCTTGGAATTTTATCTCTGCTGATGTCTCCTCACCAGCTCTTGTTCTTTGTGGCCTCACACTTTTTCATTCTTGTGCTTTATGTTCATGGCATGCCAGGAAGGACAGATGTGTATATTCAGTTAGTCATGATGTTCCTGTTGACTTTGGGATTTCTGCTCAGTTAGTTTCAGACAGGCCTCTGTCTTCAGGGCTTTCTGACTTAAGGTAAGGAGGTGTCTGAATGCAGGGTCATACCTACTGAGTATGGTTCCGGGCAGGTGGAGGACAGTGACCTTGTAGAACAGCAGGTTAGGTGTCTGATGGGCCTGGTTTTGTATTCCTGCTGACCAGTTATTTAACCTCTTGAGCCTTAACTGCTGCTGATTGGGCTTTAATTACTTGCCATGAGGGACTTTGTCCTTTAGGGGAATATTAGGGTAGACAGGATGCTGGTTGCTCAGTCGACAGCATGTCTTCTCAGCCCCTGGAAGCCAGGCCAGGTTGGTGCATGCCAGACTCCTGGTAGAACAGGTAGGGGGCCTAACAGAGTGCTATCAGGCTGTGACAGACAGAGGAGCGAAGCCCAGGACATCTTTTCGAGCTCACATCTCACTGATGAGAAGCCATTTAAAACATAGTGTGGATTACAATACAAAACTATCCTTTGTTTAAGAAATAAAACTGGGAGTCTTCAGAGATTTGCCTATTTAGGTTGTCGCCCTGTGCTAGATGCTTGTATGCAAAGAACAGATCCGACTGTGGACCCACCGAAGAAAAATGAGCAAGGAATGCACACTTCACTTGTAGGAGCTACAGTTAATCGAGAGCAGGTGCTCAGTAACTGAATGACTGCTGTTTAAGGTTTGGGCAGTGGTGGGGTTTCTGGGATGAGAAAATGCATCTTCTGACACTGGAGGAGCTGACGTCTACCTTGAGATGGGAATAAGTGTTGTATTAGTTCATCAATTGTGCTTAAGTGTTGAGAGTGGTTGGGTTAATTCATAAAGCCCCCTGGCTTTAAGACAACTTTGTTTCCTTTCACAGTGCTGGCCACCATTAACTTACAGTCGCAAAATGAGCTGGACTTACTAACCACATTTCTCTTAAATGCCCAGGTAAGTTTAGCCTAGGGACAGCTCCTGTCCTATTCAGCATGAATGCAATAGTTTTTACCAAGCTAAACCGAGCCCCCTCATTGGAGACCTGCAGTTCTTCGCTGTCTTCCAGTGTGCTCTGGGTTCACAGATGGGAAGAGAAAGATTGGTGGGTTCTCCAAGCCCTTTCTAGGTGACCCTCCATGCACCCAGGTTGTTGCATCCCTGGGAAGGGAGATAGATTAAAGCTGGTTTGAGGGGTTTCTGTGTAGACTGAACACGATTATATGCCTCTTGAAAACGAAACAACCAAAAGAAATTCAGGGCTCATGAATGAACTTTTCTGAACTTTCTCAGATTGGTCCCGAGGAGTTGAGGGGAGAAATACTTCCTTCCTCATACCATAATGTATCTGGCTTTAACTCATAAAACCCCCTCAGGTTCTGAGAACGGTTCTTGTCATCAGCGATACTGGAGGCTTGGTCCATTTACAGTCAGAAGGAAAGAGAAGTTCTTGACTGTATCACAGCATTTACCAGAAAGATGGGAATTTACATCTCCGAAGGAAATAGATGTGACTTGAGCAAAGCACCTCCAATCCATTCGAAGTCTGTTTCCAGAACTGAGAGGCCACATCTAGCTCATGGAGGCTGTGAACGTCCCCAGCCACTGCTCACTGCAGGCAAACATTGACCCTGGATCTAGCGTGGAGCTGCGGCAGTGTTTCATCAACCATGACAACCCAGACACTAAGGGCAATGCTTGGGGATCATTTTAGATCAGAGGCAGTGTCCTACAACATACTAAAATCACCATGGCAGTGCCAAAGCGATGTAGGATGAGAGTCACAAGTGTATGTGGTAAAACTACTACTGGTATTGGGAGAGGCAACCAGAGTGGACAGTAGGCTTCAAGGTGGAGATGGGATAGGATGTGGGACTTGACACCAGATTGACTTCTGTCAAGCAGGTCACGGGAGAAAGAATGGATACAGGGGAGTTCAGATTGAGTGACTTTCTTTTCTTCTTTCCTCCAGTATTTACTGAGTTCTTGTTCTGTGTCACTACGGTGAATAAAACCACAGAGTCTCTGTGCTCAGTGAGTTTTAACTGACTCTGAAAGAGACTTATTAAATGACCAAATAAGCCAATGAAGGTTGACAAGTAAATAATTACAAAAACAGCTCTGTAGAAGTATACCAGTGCTGCCAAAGAGAAGCACAGGGTGCCGCGAGTTTCCCCTATAGCCCACTGTGCCACAGCTGTGAACACGGGGCAAGCTACTGGCCCTTTCTGTGCTTCTCTTTCTTCTTTGATAAAGTGGGACCGATAATTGTACCTACTCATAGGGTTCTGGTGTGACGCTATAGGATAAGCACCAGACGTGAACTACAAGGTCGGCAGTTCAAACCCACCAGCTGCTTTTTGGAAATGCTATACAGGGTTGCTGTGAGTTGGAATCGACTCAATGGCACTTAACAACAACAACTCATAGGTTTATTTGAGGATTCAATGAGGTAATATTTGGAAATCACTTTGGATAGTAGCTGATATAAGTAAGTGCTTAATGGTGGCTTTTTACTTTTTTATCTTTAAGGCAATAGACACATTTTTACCATCTTAAGCTATGCTGTATTGTTGACAAAATGGCTCGACTGAAACGCCCTCAGTTTCTTGTCCTCAGTTCAAAGCTTATTGAGGTGCAAAAGATAAACTTTCCCTTAAGGAAAGGAAGTTCAATATTTCCTTGTCAAAATATTTAAATTCACAGGTTTGATATTTCCTTGAATGGACAATGACTCTGTTGAACTCTGGAATATCCAGCAACACCTCACTAGGTATTGTGTATGTGGTAGCCAGACCCAGTGATGAGGATTGTTGTGTTTGTTATACGCTGTTGAATCGGTTCACATTCATAGTTTCCCCAGTGTAGGGTTTCTAAGGAGCGGCTGATGGGTTTGAACTGTCGACCTTATGGTTTGTAGTCCAGTGCTTATCCACAGCACCACACCAGGACCCCAGTGATGTTTCTTGAGTACTTCCCAAGTGCCAGGCACTGTACAAAGTTTGTGAATTATCTCCTTTAATTCTCCCGAACTATTTCAGATGGATACCATCACTGCTGTTTACAGTCAAAGTGAACAGAAACTGAGGGTGGAAAAAGCAGCTTGCCTGCCCTACACCCAGGACTATAGCATGCTCTGACTGGTTCCAGGGCTTCATCCTAGCCACAATGTACAATGACCTAGACCACTGATGGATGCCACCTCCATGTGGCCTGACACCTTCACGTTCAGGAACCCATTCCTGGCAGTAGGGACTGCTGAGATGTGGAACTTAGAATCTACTTCCCCCATTTCTATGCCTTAAAAGTGGTATAGTATGTCCCTTTCCTTAGATGTAGACAACTTGTGCAGAAAACCAAGCCACAAGTCTTGCTAAAAAAATGATGTTTTCACCTGTGTAGGGCAGGTACTTTCTAGTAAATGGATGGTAGGCCTGCCCATTGTACTGACTCCACTCACTCGGGCTTTGCTACTCTGCCTGCAGTTACTCTCAGATTGGAAAGCTGTCACTAACAGAGAACATACTTGATACACAGTCATGGAAGGAATGAGTAAGTGTGTCTAGTACAGAAACTGAGGTACCAACATTTGAGTCCCTGTCGCTCCTACCAGGTGATCCAGTGCTTCTTGTAAACATGGCCGAGTAGGCCATGGTCTCTGTAATGTTTACGTGTCCTCGGTACGATCACATTCCAATGTCAGAATTCCAAAGTAACACTGAAGATTTATTGAATGCCCTAGTCCAGCTCTGAATCCAGATACTCTGACTGCAGAACGTGCACTGGTGCTCTGGCTCAGTTATACCCAGCCTACCAGCTAGACTGTGTAGAGGGCCCATTCGCTCTGCAGCCTTCCTGCTTTTCCAGCTCAAGGAAAGCACCACCGGAAGTATGTGTGCCCACAGCATGCTTTGCAGAGACTGGCTGATCCTGGACATGGTATTGTCCTTTCTTGGCTTAATCCAGAAAGCAAATCAAAGTGGGGAAAAAATTTACAGAGTAGGTAGTGAAGTCTAATAAAGACTTAATTGGGCAGATAGCAATGCAAGAGTAAAGGCACATTAAGTAATTAAGATCTTCTACACCAGGAACCCTGGTAGTGTAGTGATTACGCATTGGACTGCTAACCACAAGGTCAACAGTTCAAATCTACCGCCTGGAGAAAGATGAGGCTTTCTGCTCTTATACAGATTTACAGTCTCAGAAACCTTATGCAGGGTCACTATGAGTTGGAACCAACTTCACGGCACATAACCACCACCACCACCATCATACCAACTCTAGTAGCTTTCTCTACACTACACCAGGAGGAGAGGAAGCCATGCTGGGACCAGTAGCTGCATATGCAAGTGACCCTCGTCTCTGCTCTGCTTTCAGTGGCCTCTGTGACAGGGGTGTGTGTTCAGGGAAAAGCTGGGGGACAGAATCCTGACACCTCCTCCAGAAAGGGCCTTGTCTGCCTGAATAACTTCTCATTTTGTGCTCAGGGAGTTCAGCCCAAGATGGTGATGGAGTACTGGACAGGCTGGTTTGACTCCTGGGGTGGTCCTCATAACATCTTGGATTCTTCTGGTGAGTGCTCGGTAGTACTGTATCTAGAATGCATGTGGCCTAAGAAGTAAGAGGATGTTCCAAAGAACCTGCTCTTGGATGGAAATTAGATGTAGCATACAAGGCTCTTGGGTTATTTGTGTGCAGTAGTCCGCTCTTGACATTCCATTCATTTGTATTAGCATTTGAAGTGAATTATAAATAGAACTTTTAAATTGCTTTAGTACATTTTTGCAATTAGAAACATAACACATGTCTATTGCATACATTCATAAAATACAGAAAAATAAATAAATGAAACTACCAGAACCTTGAGAAAACAGTATATGCTCACAGGAGGCTTTCTGTGTATCCTGTCTACAACGCTGCATTCATATGCAGATAGAGACAGACACTGCATACTTGAGTATTTGGAGCCTGCTTGTGCCACTCAATAAAGGATTATGTCCGTTTTCTAAACTCTTAACTATAGATTTGCATCATTATTTTAAAGAATTCAAAGAACTCCATGGTATTGATGACTGTGCTGTAGTTATGAGCTCCCCTTCTAATTGATGGAACCCTTCCATTGCTTTCGATACTTTGTTTAGTTTTGTTGGCTTGTTAACATAAACACCATTTCAGTGATCACCCTGGAGTATCCAGTTCTGCCTACTTGTTATAGTACTTCCCTATGAATAGTTCTTAGAAATAGAAATCGCTAAATCAATGCTATTCTAATAATTACATTGCCCTTCAGAAAGACTGAAGCAATTTTTACTCACCAATTTTGAAAGCAAGTACCCATTTCTCATAGATCATCAACATTTGAGTATTAAACTTATTTTTAATATTTTCCAATTTGGTAGGTTCTGGCCTAGTTGTAGTTCTTTGATTGCGGTTGTTGTTAAGTGTTGATGAGTTGGTTCTGGCTCATAACAACCCTTTAGGATTTCCGAGGAGCGGCTGGTGAGTTTGAACCTGCAACCTTGTGGTTCAAACCAACCTTGTGGTCCAGTGCTTATCCTACAGTGCCACACCAGGACTCGTTTCTTTGATTAGTGAGGATTGAAAAACCCACAAAGATTTGATGCCTCAGAAACCCTTTTCAGGTCACTAGGAGTAGGAACTGGCTTAACAGCAACAACATTATTTCTCTTTCTGATTTCTTCACATCAGTAGTTATTTTTCAATAAAGGTAGGGTTGAAGGAGTTGTCAGAATGAGACAAGGGAGCTTCAGAATGTCACTGGAAAGATTCCATTAGCTGTTAATCCCATTTTTCCATGAACTTTTTGAAGCCCCTTTTTATTTATTATTGTAAAATCTCTGTTGTGCTTTCCTAGGTGATGGGCACATTGGGAAGCCCCCAGGATAGAGGCCCTCCCTCCAAAGCACAGTTAGTGGGGAGTTGACTGTGATTTCAGAATCAACTGGGAGGCTGCAGCCCTGGGGGGGTCATGATTCTGGGGGCTGCTTCTCTTCCTCCTCTCCTAGTCTGTGATCGGGGTTTTAGTGGACGCTGAAGAACAGATTGACACATTTGATTTGGGGGAGTGACTGGGAAGTAGGAGAGTCCTACATGAACTCTGACTCCTCTGCACACCCCTTTATTTCTCTCGTGCAGAAGTCTTAAAAACAGTGTCTGCCATCATCGATGCTGGTGCCTCTATCAATCTCTACATGTTCCACGGAGGGACCAACTTTGGCTTCATCAATGGAGCCATGCATTTTAATGAATACAAGTCCGACGTCACCAGCTATGGCAAGTACTTAGAACCTCCCCTACCCGGCCACCCCAACGCTTGTGTGTCTAGAGCTGGCAATGAGGAGTCTTTCAGAAATGCCTTCTGGTCCTTTCATTTATTTGTCTATAAAGCATCAGAAGGAGCCCTGGTGGCACAGTGGTTTAAGTGCTCAGCTACTAACCAGAAGATCTGGTCTATGAACCCACCAGCCACTCCAAAGGAGAAAGAGGTAGCAGCCTTCTTCCGTATAGATTACTGTCTTGGAAACCCTATGGGGACAGTTCTTGCCTGTCCCTTAGGGTTGTAAGAGCTGGAATTGACTTGATGGCACACAACAATATATAGCACGCAAGGAGGTGCAGGTTTCTCTAGATGATCCTTTCTAGACATCCAAAGAGAGCGGTAGGAATCCCATGCCGGCTTGTACATCTGTGAGCTGACCCCTGCTGCAGAGAGACCTCTGAGAGGAAGGAGAGGAGGCACAGCTAGAGCTGTGGGGGCAGTTTAGGGGAAGCTTAGGTAAGGGCAACCTTTTTTCCTTACTTGGGCTCTTGAGATGGAGTGACCTGGGCCTCTATGTGGTAGAAAAGATACCTGCGACTAGAAATCAGGGTCATACTGTGATCTCAGACAGAGACCCCTCCTATTTTTAGTGTTCTGACTAAGCATCTCTTGTCTCCAGAGTTGTTGATGGGGTCCCAGTGCACTACCCCAGCCCCTCTTTTCTCTTCTTGCTGCTGCAGGAGCTGTCTAGGGGGTATGAGTGACCAGAGATGGCTCCCTGGTGTTTTGCAGACTATGATGCGGTTTTGACAGAGGCCGGGGATTACACAGCCAAGTACTTCAAGCTTCGAGACTTTTTTGCCTCCTTCTCAGGTACCCAGAAAACTGCCAGTTCTGGTACCAGCTTAGGTCTTTGCTTTAGCTATGAGACCCTAAAACAGTTATTTCCTGCCTATTGTTCCTCAACCCCAGTGGATTTGTGTGTGTGTGTGGGGGGGGGTGGTCCTAGAATGGGGTAAGAAAGTCTGAAACAAGAAATCCTTAATACAGTTTGCAAACTGCTAGCTTCCCCTTTCTGTTTTATAGTTATTGAGACTACCAGGGGTATACAGAAGTCCCTCCTTATTCCAGCTCTCCAGGAGTGCCTTCCTCAGCATGCTCTGAGAAAAGAGGCTTATTCTTATTAGCTCTTAAAGAGTATATAAAGCTCTTAAAGAATATACAGGTGTCTTTGCTTATTGGCTCTTAAAGAGTATATAGGCTGGGGGTTGGGGCGGTTGGGGGAAGCAGTAGCTGTTTTGGGTCCTTTTGGGATGGGCTTGTGGTCTGTTTGTGTTTCAGGTGCCCCACTTCCCCTGCCTCCTAAACTTTCTCCCAAGACTGCATATGACCCGTTGATGCCAGCCTTCTACCTGTCCCTGTGGGATGTCCTGAAGTACATGGGGGAGGTGAGTGCTGCCTTTTAGGGGCAAGGGTAGTCATGAGGTGGGTGAGCAGAGAAAGGAAAGGTAGACTGAAACAAGACAGCCCACCAGAGAGGTGATGTGGGGGAGGAGGAAATCTAGTTCTTGATAGCTTTGTGTCTGTTCTCTGGCTTTAGAACTCACAGCAGAGGACAAATTTATGCTAGAGAACAAGTGGGAAGTAAAAAGAGAAGTTGAAGAAAACATGGGCATCACAGCAGACCTTTCCCTTCTCCGGTGTAAGGCTGAGGCTGTTGTCTGGGACAGATTAGGGGATGGGGAGGCAAGGACAGGCTGCTCCCCTGGGATTCATGCCTCCATTTGTGAAAGGGTGTGTCCTGTAACCCACTTAGAAGGGCTGTGTGCGTAAATGACAGTGATTGAAGACTTCATCCCACTATTTAGTGGTCTGTGTCCTTTGTTCTCCCAACTCTGGAGATCTGTAGGTTTAGTATAATGAGAAGTCAAATCAGAATTCTTGAGGTAGTCAGATGGATTGACTCCACATGTGAAGTTCATAGGTTTGTATAATGAGTTGGGAAAATAGAAGAAATGGGAGACGTGTTAGCTCACGCCATTGTTCTTCCTACTCCCTGCACTCCCCAGAAAAGCTCCAGGTAAGACTGCTGGTTTCCTTCTCCTCAGGCTGGCCATGTTTCTTTTATGCATAGCCAATCCAGTCTGAAACTCCAGTCAACATGGAGAACCTGCCAGTAAATGATGGGAATGGACAGTCCTTTGGATATACTCTGTACGAGACCACCATTTCCTCACCTGGTGTCCTCAGTGGTCTTGTGCGTGACCGGGGACAGGTAGGAATGCTTTTGCTTAGTTCCTGTGACCTTTTTAGTGATCTGCCCTGAAACAAGCCTTGACTCTGCCCTCAGTATCTGACCAGGGAGCGCCCATAAATTGCTGTACCAGCATGTCTAAGTGGCCCTTCGCTGTCAGCCGTGCGGCCCTTTCAGTTTGACTCGTATGTTCTGTGGCCAGCCAAGCCCCTCCCCGATGAATGCACATCCAATGTTGACGTCTTCCTGTGTTTAGCAAAGATCCTCCCTTCCTATCTTCCCCTTCCTACTGACCTGTGGATGTTTTCTGTGTTTCTTTTTGGCAGGTGTTTGTGAATACAGTATCCATAGGGTACTTGGACTATAACAAGAAAAAGATCGATATCCCCTTGCTCCAGGTTTGTTATCCTAGGGAGTTGGATAATGTCTACACCAGCTGCTTTCCACTGGGTCAGGTGGCCAATTGGAGTAAGGTGGAATGATGGAGCAAGTTTGGTGGGAGTCAAAGAGGAAGACTTAGAAGACAGGAGGCTCTTTAACCACAGGTTGCAGAGTGGAAAGAGGGCCAGAATGTTGCTTTCTGCTCAACTGAACTCTTTCACACCCATCCTCAGAGCTTGGGGGAGAACTGGGATACCACAAAAGAAGCCCTGAGTAGTAGATTTTGGCTGGGTAATCAGGCAATCATCATGGGCCACTATGTTCCTGGCAGGGTTATACTGTGCTGAGGATCTTGGTGGAGAATCGTGGGCGTGTCAACTACGGGGACAACATCAATGACCAACGCAAAGGTGGGTTATAGTGCATGTTGGGAGAAAAGCAGCCAGTACTAGTACACAGTATATGTGTGGGTATCTCTTCTCTAAATTAGCCCACTAGCAAGCTATGGAGGCCTGTTGGATTGAATTGGCATCACAGTGGTCCGTTGGAGTTAGGTGAAGTCTGAAACGCCCCCTTAGAGCTAGGTGGTGACAGACAGGTGCATTGGACTCAGGTAGGGTTGGGTTGACCCATTCTTGAAGGCAGTTTGCAAGCCAGAGAAGCTCCTCTGAGCTTTGATCACGGCCCCTCACTGTGTTAGCTCTCATATTCATGACGGTCACACAGGGACAATGAGCCGTTCTCTCTGGTTCTTCGTGGGTTGCAGTCTGCTTTATCAAGGGCTGTTTGTGGGTGGTAAGGAAGGGAATTTCCAGGTATCTAAGAGAAAAGCATGGGACTTCTGCCTTCTTGGACTACCACACTGAATTTTTTCTTGATCTGTTTAGGGAAGCCCACAGGTGATTCTATTTGCGGGGGTGTGGAGGAGGCAAGACGTACAAGAAATAAAATGCTCTTTGGATGGCATGCCTCTAGAAATAACCCATCATTCATGTTCTTTCCTCTTCTTTTTATGTGTCTATCAAAGTGTGGGTGAGGTCAGAGAAGTTGGAAAAAGCATACGTAGACAAAATAAGACACACTGTAGCAAGGAAAACTGAGGACCACCCAGTTTCCTTTCTAATGGAAGAGCCTTGTACATCTCTTTGGTGAAAATTCCACCAACATCTAAGAAGAGTCTCGATAACAGAGTCTTTTGGTCACCTGCGAAGAAAGCAGGTGGCCCAGTTGTCAGAACTTCCTAGGTTTTGGGGTCTCGACCTGTCCAGAGGGCCTCACAGTGGTTACCAATACTGCTCAGACTCCCCTAATAATTCCTCAGCCCTCAGCAGGTTCCCTCTTCAGGCCTAGCTCTATGCCCTTGGTTTTTCTGGAAGTTGGAAGGGACTCCCAGAATGACGCTTGGTCCAAGTCTCTGTGTGGACCCTCACTGGAATTCTGATCCTTGGATTGTAGTGACAGATGTCCTTTCCAAAAGTAGTGTGGCCTCTGTCACACAGGTTCCTATAATTTCAGAGCATCTTCAGGCCCCATAAATCCAGATTTCTTCTTTGGTATCTCAGTGCCTCCACGGTCAAGAGAATCATTTTGATCAAGATGATTATGGGATATTCTGTGGGCCTGACCTAGCTGACCATTTCCCAAGGCATTATTAATTAACTGCACCTCAAGTGTGTTGGAGCACAGTGAGTCTAAACAGTAAGCATTGTCCTGCGAACCACAAGGTTGGTGGTTCAAGTCCACCAGCTGCTCTGCTAGAGAAAGATGAAGCTTGCTGTTCCCATAAAGATTTATAGCCTCAGAAACCCTACACAGGGGTACTATGAGCTGGAACTAACTTGACAACACTTAATAAGTATGGTCACTTCCTCAGAAGTTGATACCCAAGTAATCTTGCCATCTGCTCTCAGTTTAAATGCTTTTTAAAAGTTTCTTTGATCCTAGGTCATGTAGAAGATCTCTAGCTGAGTTATTAGATTTGTTTCATCTGGGATGTTGCCTGAACAGACGTTGGAAGCGGGCCAGACTCCTGTGATCTCTTGGACATCTACCTTTTTGGCCTTGTTCCACTCTGAACGGGAATGCTCAGTCCTCCACAGGGAGATTCCCTCCAGAGTCCAAAGACTGCTCTCACTCTCCTGACATTGCCCTAGAGGTGTTCTAGCTCTGTCACTGCCCTCTCTTCCCACCATCTATGACAGAAAGTCCTAAGCCTGGCAAATATTGGTATTAATCATTCTCAAACCCTTTGACATTTTTAGAAAAGATAGGATGCCAAGTGAAGAGCTTTTTAGGCAATATGTTGTTGTTGTTATGTGCCGTGGAGTCAGTTCCGACTCATAGCGACTCTGTACAGGGTTTCCGAGGCTGTAAATCTTTACAGGTAAATCTTTAAGGGAGCAGAAAGCCTCATCTTTCTCCTGCGGAAAAGCTGATAGTTTCAAACTACTGACTGTGAGATTAGCAGCCTGATTCATAACCACCACACTACCAGAGTTCCTGTAATACTCCAGGAAAATTCCCGCCAAGTTTTCCATGCATTGCCCTGGTTGTAGATGACCAATGCCTGACCTTTGGCTTTCCTTATACTCTCTTGCCTTGTTACCACAGGTTTAATTGGAGACCTCTATCTAGATGGTTCTCCCCTGAAAAAATTCAAAATCTACAGCCTGGATATGAAAAAGAGTTTCTTTCAGAGGTGAGTAGCTGCATGGGCCAGAGTGTGGCTCATAGGGGAAATGCATGGGAAACCAGAAAAGCCCCTAGAGACCTCCACATCCCCAGTTGTGTGAACAGACCAGAGAACCAAGGTGACTTTGCCAAGGTGAGGCCATCAGCAGTGCTTTCATACTGGAGTACTGTCCATGATACCACCTGTCATTGTCCCTGTGCTCTGGCTGGCTACAGAAATGGGGCTCAAGTAGATTCAGAACTGGAGCCAGAATTGAAAGAGTACATTGCTTCCTTTTGTGCCCCTATTCCACCTTAGGTTCAGCATCAACAAATGGAGCGCTATCCCAGAAACACCTACGTTCCCGGCTTTCTTCTTGAGTGGCTTGTCAGTTGGCCCCGACCCATCTGACACCTTTCTGAAGCTAGAGGTTTGTAAGCCACCCTTCCCTGCCCAGGCTCTCCCATCTCCCACACAAGCTCTCTGAACTAAAAGTCCCTGTGTTTGGCCTTGACTGACATGCTCAATAGTGTCGGTGCTAGGGACCTTCCTGTCCCTGTACTACCCTCTCTGAAAATGGGTCTCCCAGGGTGGGAAGAACTCCATGCAGAACACCTGGCGCATGGGGTGGCTGTTTCTCAGGGTACAGATACTACTTCTAGTTTGGTTGTGGGCACCATGCCTCAGGGGCTTGAGGTTAATGGGAACAAGAGGTAGGTGAACTCCACCATTAGCCTTATGAGTGTCAAAGCCTCACTCCCCGTGGTGCTGTACAAATGTGAGAAGGGTGTGTGCCCCAAGGCATACTGTTTCTGCCTTCCTGTGTGCCTTTATACTTGGGGACTGTCATGGTTGACTAATGTCCTCTTTACTCTGCCCAAAGGGCTGGGAAAAGGGGGTTGTATTCATCAATGGCCAAAACCTTGGAAGATACTGGAACATTGGACCTCAGGAGACCCTCTACCTTCCAGGTACCTGGTTGGACCCAGGTCTCAACCAGGTGAGCATGCATCCAGCCTACGTCCCTTTGCCCATGATGCCCAGGCCAACTTTCTCATAGACACAGAAGAGAAAACTGAAGGCTGGCAGATGTGACTCAGTGGCCCCAGAATATGTTGTTAACAGCCTCACCTTTTGGCTCCCAAGTCAGGAAGGGAGACTGTAGCTATCCTGGGCATAGGAATATGTTTCTAAACATGAGGCTTCAGCTTCTTTTGGATTGGTGTTTGTGGGCAAAACCTAAGTTGGAAGCTTGCTCCATATGGTCCCTTCTCATACGTGCTTCATGGGTTTCAGAATGTATCTCTGCACCCTTTTGTTGCTGTCTTTAAAAACTAGGTTAGGGCAGGTGAGTGGGCAGCTGCACCAGCTCTTTCTCCATCTGTTTCCCAGCCCGTTCCTTCCAGCCCAGCTTCCCAGCCCTTCTCTTTAACACCTGCAGCCTAAGGCTCCCTAGAGCCACCGACCTGGTGACTTTTTCACTTTGCTTTGTCAAGACAGCTCATCTGCCTTCTTACCCCAATCGTGCTTTCTTTCCCAGGTCGTTGTGTTCGAGGAGAAGGTAGCAGGTCCAATGATACAGTCCATGGAAATGCCCTACCTGGGCAGGAACAAGTACCTTAACTGACGGCCCCTGCCATCCTCCTGCTGTTCAGAGGGTGGAGGGCTGCTCTTTCACACCCTTCCATGCAGACTAACACCCTCACGTAGCATCCTCAAATCTGAGCAGCTCCACGTTGATCTGCTGCCTCTACTCCGGACCTCACACCTTGGAGGACTGAAGAAAATGAGTGTGAAGGCAAGGGGTGGTGGTTTGCAGTGGTACCTGCCCTAACCCCTCATCTTCTGGGTGAAGGCAGAATAATGTCCTTCTGGGCCTGGGGCCTTGAATTTGATCATATGTGGTGAAGGCCTGAGCCCACAGAAAGGGCACGGACATGAGATGGGCAGGAGCTCCTGGGTCAGGAAGTGACAGTTAGCACAGCTAACTGGGCTTCACTACCCCTCTGATGGCCACTTTTTAGGCATTAGGCCATCTGTAGAGGATAGGTGAGGGGTGGTATCATACCTATGCTGTTTCTTCTTCACAACCTCCTCCTCCTTCCCTGGGTTCAGGAGGACACCTTATTTAAGAAACCCACGTGGTGTCTCCTCCTTACTCCCACTCTGATTGATCTGACAGGAGGATAAACCAAAGCCCCCAAGAAACAGAAATACCCAACCTCTTATTTTCCTGATTAGAGTCTTTTCAGCTTTGATTACTAAGAATAATAGAAACAAACTGAGAAGGAAATATAGATGCTAACAGGAATGACTCCCCCTATTCCTCATATTTGAGTCCCCAGGACACTCAGCTGGCATTGGGCGGGGAACCTCCCTGGGAATGTTGGGTTAGTGATGGCATCCAGGACCAATGAGGCCTCTGTCTCCCTCTTCTACCTCCTGTAACCAATCAGCTTCTCCATAATTGTCTCCATGTTCGAAGTGTGAGGTGCTCCTTCTGGGGATCAGGTTCAAAGAGTTGGTGCAGGTTCTTTGTTCTTAATTGCAATAAAGTAATAGAGTTAACCAAAGCCTCATTGGTAATGTGGCTCTGATTTCATCTATGCACTGTTAGCCAAAGGAGAAGGCATTTGGACCAGACAGACATTTAGCCCCTAATGTTGTATCCAGAAACAAACTACCCAGTTATCGGATGAGTCATTCTCTTGGTTTATGATGGCTTCAAGTCCCCTGATAATGTTATTGTGGTTTGGAGGTACCCAGGGGCAGAAGAGGTCAGGCACAAATTCATTCTAAGCATTGGGGATCAGGGGGACAGGAGCCGGTAGGACAGCGAAGAACTGAGTCAGGTCCAGTAAGTGAATTTTTTCTGCACATACACTGACTTCTACTACCCAAACAAATGATCTTCAGTTCTAATGTAAATCCATTGACACACCTAGCCCAGGCCTATGCCCACAGTAGCTCAGTAAAAGATCGGCAGGGGATAGAGTGGGTCATATCATCAGCAGAGGTCCCAGAAGCTGCACCCTTGTGTTCCTCTGAGGAAAGGAGTTCCCCCTAGGGGAAGTATATGTGGTATGCAGCCACCATGGTTAAGCACTGACTGACAGCTGGCCCAAATGCCCTTTGTGGGGTGGAGAAATGGAGCTAGCTATCAAAATGAAGATCTTGGTCAATATCTGGGAGCAAGGTGAAGCTGACTCTCCACTTTTGTCCAAACTCATCAAATCTTCTTGAGTTGCCTTGGAACTGAAAGCACACAGCCAAGATGGTGGTGAGACAGGGGTACTGGGCCAGGGTAGAGGGCAGTGCAGCTGTGTCTAGTTTGTCATGAAGTGTGCTGCTACAAGAGTGTAGCCAGGCAAGCTGGCTTCTGTTAGGGAATGTGACATGGAGCTGGTATTTAAAGGAATCTTATAAGGAGTCCTTTCACCGCACAATGAAGGAATTATGCTAATCTCAGCAGTGATGCATTGGCACTTTCCAAAAGTGAAGTCTTCCTGCCCCAACTTATTATTCTTGTCTTCTTATCTGCCAGACCACCTGCAGTATCTCTTTCAAAGCATCCTGTGTCAGAGATTATACCCCAGAGTTGACAAAAAGCTTCATGTCCAGATCTTCCACACGTTGTAACTTTACTGTGGTTTGTTGATGATCTGTTCTCACAACCTCACTGTGTCCTAGGCATTAATCCATATACCCTGCAAGCCATCTCCTCCAGGCCCACAAGGAACCTTGACCCTATCCTGGTACTATCCAGTGTTTGTCTCTAACTTGACCCTCCACTGACTTGTCTTCAGGTCCCTGTAGCTGTCTGCTTACCTTTCTTCTAAAGATGTCTGATGGGCAATGAAAATGAACTTCTGATTTTCCCTGTGTTATCTCTCCTGCATGCTGCCCGTATTGGTGTTAGGTGCTGTTGACTTGGTTCTGACTCATAGTGACCCCATGTATAACAGAATGAAACACTGCCCAAGCTGCGCCGTCCTCACAATCTTTCCTCTATTTGAGCCCACTATTGTAGCCACTGTGTCAATTCATTTCATTGAAAGTCTTCCTCTTTTTCACTGACCCTGTACTTTTCTCAGCCTGGTGTCCTTCTCAAAGATCTGGTTCCACCTGACAATGTGTCCAAAGTACATGACACAAATTCTCACCATCCTAGCTTCTAAGGAACATTGTGGTGGATACTTCTTTCATGACAGATTGGTGTTTCTGGCATATTCAATATTCTTCACCAAGACCATAATTCAAATGCATACATTCTTTTTCATTCTTCCTTATCCGTTGTCCAGCTTTTGCAGCATATGAGTCAATTGAAAATACCACGGCTTGGGTCAGTTGCACTTTAGTTCTCAAAGTAGTATCTTAAAGAGATATTGTGCAGCAAATTTGCTCAATGTAATTCATTGTTTGATTGCTTGACAGCTGCTTGCCTGGGTGTTGATTTAATTTGTTCATATTTGGAAATGATAATTCTATCATTCTTATTATTTTTGACTCTTTTATATCTTACATCAATTCATCACATCTTTCTGGCTCTACCTTTTAGATACTTTCAGAACCCAACCCTTCTCTCTGACCTAGCTCTCCACCTGGACCAATCCACCACCATTTCAGCCTTGGATTACTGCCACTGCCTTCCTATTATTGTCGGCACAGTAAGCAGATTGGTTCTTTTAGAAGGGTTAATTAGATCATGTCAGTCCTCTGCCCAATTCCCAGTGACTTCCCAGTTCACTCAATAAAAATCAAAATAATTACACTGGTTCCGAGGGCAAAAGGCATCCACCTTTATCCACGTCTCACCTTGCCTCTCATCACTGTCCACTCAGTTGCAGCCACGCTGGCCTGTGCTGATCTTTAAACATGCTACATGCTCTCCAACTTTGGGGAGTGGTCCGTTCCCAGAACATGCACGTCTGACATTTACTCCTCTGCTCAAATGGCACCTCATCAATGAGAGTTTATCAGTGGGACCTGCCCTATAGGGTGTATCATCCCCTTTGTCAGTCCTACAATCTGCCTTCTGACTCTGATTTTCTCTTCTTTAAATGAATCATATCGCAAATACCATTTATGACTTCTTTTAGGAATGTAACTCTGTGAAGGCAAATACTCTGTTTTTCACAGTTGTAAGCTAGCTCCTTGGTTCCTAGGCAGCATAAATGATTTGTGCTCAGCTCCTAACCTACAAGTTGGTGGTTTGAATTCCCCAATGGTACAGTGGAAGAAAGATCTGGTGATCTACTTCTGTAATGTTACAGCCATTATAAACCACATGTAGCACAGTTCTATGATTACATATATACGGTTGCCATGAGTCAGAATGGACTCTGGAGCAACTGGTGTTTTTTTTTAATGCTACCTTCTAGAATCATATCTGGTTTATAGTAAGCATTTGATAAACGTCTGCATGATGGTTAAGTGAGTAAATAAATGAGACTAAAATAAGACAGGGCCGAAGAGGATTAGGACTGTTAAAAACCATATTTAATGTTTAATTTCGAAACAAATTGAATACAGTTAAGTTAGAAGAGACCAGAGAGGCAGGTGTGTGGACCTCTCCACCCAGGCTGCGTTCTTGGGGTTCCTTGTCCCAAGCACCACTTCTGCAGGGCAGGGCCTATGGTGAGGGACAGGGGACAGACTGGGCTTGGAAAACCAATTATTGTCATGGGCCCAGTTCTTTTGATTTGTAACAAACTCACTCCCAATAAAGATGAAGGTTGCAGTCCACCAGGGTTATAATTATAAATAAATACACATGCAGCTAAAGATGATAATAGGGGAGGACAACTGAACTAGTATCTGAAAAAAAAAAAAAAAGCCTTTTTGTTTTTAAAAAGAATGTCCCATTTTGTTGTTTATTATCGAGTTCCTGAAAATAATCCCTGGGCTTTAGGCTCAGAAGGTTGCCTAAGGGCAGCCAAGTTGCCCGGGCATTCAGGGCTGGTTCTGGGGTGCTTGAGGCCACAGGGGCCCTGGCACAGACTCGTGGATCATTGGGTGCCTGCGCATCTTCCTCTCTCCTCCCCATGACACTTGTTTGATTGCAAGGGGCCTATCTATTCCAAAGCAGCAGTGGAAAGTGGGAAAACCTCCTGCAAGGGACACGGGTCAGTGGGGTCTGATCCCTATCAGATGGTTCCCTGAATACTGTGGTAAATGAAATAAATTTCAAATTAGGAACCGGTGCTATGTTTGAAGGTTACATCTGCTGGCCTGAGTTCCCCCCACCCAGGAATGGGTTCTGAATGGCCTTCTGACTTATCTGTGAGTTTAAACAGATTGGGGGCTGTAACCAGCTAAAAAATGAACACCTCATCAATAGAATCCTTCCCTTTTTCTTCAACTGGGAGGAAAATTGTGCTTCCAACTTTCAAGAACATGAGTGCAATGACCACCAGAGGGCACCATCCTTAGTGAGAAAGCCTGGACCAGTGGAAGGGGGAACCAAGGGAACTGGGCTTGGGCATGGATCATCTTGTTCATTTCTCCTTCTCTGGGGTAGGGGGACAAGGAGCTGGGGTAGGGGGACAGGGAGCTGGGGAGGAGATGGGCTTACCATACAGGAAGAAGTGATGTTTTCTTTTTTTCAATTTGTAATGAAAACAATGATCTCTAAAGCAGTGTGCTCAGGTCTCCTTTCCCCTAGTGTCCAAATGACCTTTGCCCCCTTACGCTCTCCATAAACCTTTCTGCTAACCACTGGCAGAGTGGGGGCTGTGGAACTCCCCTGCATCTTCTGCAGACCGGAAGAGACCCCCCTCCTGATCTGAGGTTCTGTGAGAGCTCGAGGAGAGAGCTTCTCAGCAGGCCTGGTCTTCTCCCCTCCAGGTGGGCAAGGGTTATCAGGACCAGGGGACAGGGAGGCAGTGTTGTGGAAAGTGGGTCAAGAGGTCTCTTAGTCCAGGTCTTGCCAGTGACCTGTGCTGGCTCTGGTGCCCACCTCCTCCCTGGTGCTGGAGGAGAAGGCTGGGGGGTATGGGACCAGAGGAAGGGCGGCTGCTCCCACCCCAGTCTGAGGTACATGGAGCCTGTTGGCAGGCTTAGGACCCCATGCAGAGCCTGTTGGGGTCCCAGACAGCCAATTCTGTAAACTTGAGCCAAAGGAAAACCAGGAGGTATGTCTGCTTTGGGAGCAGCCCTCGGGAAGAGGAATGAGGTGGGAGTGAGTGTCCGTTTTGTCCAATGACAGCTCTGCTGTCTTCAGAGCTCCCTGGCTGATGTCCAGTGTGGCCATTGGGTCTGGAGCAGGGAGAAGGAGAGCCAGGAGTGCCCACTCTCAGCCCCCATGATTTGGGTGGGAGCTGCAACACTGTTGTTCACAGGCTGTGTGGGCAGGCCCTCTTCAGGGATGTTCTGGGATGCTTGCGGGGGCTGACCGGGCTGGCATGCAGCTGTGCTCCTGCCCCTGAGGTCTCTCAGGCCCTTGGTCAGATCAGATGGAAGAAAACAACAGGTTTGGGGTTTCTGTGCTTTAAGTTATCTGTCCTTCATTCAGAGCTCTCTCTGAAGCCCCCAACTTACAAAGGAGGGTGATGGTGATTCCTTAAGAGTTAGTCTTGGAGGGACCATCAGCCATGGGAGAGGGTAGCAGGCCAAGAGCAAGGTCTGAGAAGGAGGCTCCTGTGGAGGGAAGGAGGGCTGGTGAGGTGTGAGGCCATAGGAGTGGGAATGAGGAATGGCCGGTAGGCCAAGTCCCTGACCACAGGTCACCAGGATCACTCTAGAGCCAACCCCTAAGGTCTTCTAAGGTGAATGGAGAAGGGTTTTTCCAGGGGCCCAGGGAGAATGGAAAGCAGGGGGTGGGGCTTTATACCGATGCATTCTAAATAGACCTGGCAAAGGTTAGTTTTATGTTCAGAGGATAAAATAGCCTGTGGTCCCCTGAGGGCAAGACAAATGTAAATGTGATATAGAAGTTGTTGTTAATTTAACTCCATGGCCAGAGGAGCAGTTGTATGCCCTACTATCTAAGTTCCTACCTGTGTTTGTCATAACTTAGAGTAGGAAGCCAGTAGTACGAGGTGATTTCAAGGCAGGATGAAATAGAAAAAAACAGAAAAATCCTGGCTTTGCAAATCGTTCAATGTACAGTCTTAGACAAGGCATTTAACTTCTCTGAACATCTTTACTTTACCCTTACAATGCACAAAGAACCTCTGGCCTACTACAAGAGAATTTCAAAGAACCCAATAAACATAGCAGCACTTGCTATATAATAAAGACTTGTTGTATGCCAGAGACAGACCTCAGTGTCCCGAACAACCCATTGTACTGATGAGAAAACTGTGGCTCAGAGAAGTAAAGTCAAGCAGGTAAAAATGGCAAGACTTGAATTTTAGGTAAAACAGGGACACACTTGAAAAGGTGACAAGCAGTGTGTAAATGGTCATTGTTCCAGCAATACTATTAAAGGCAGCAAACCAAAGGGAAAGAGGCATATTTAGGAAGGTAAACCTGGGAAAGTGAGAATCTAGGAATAGGTTCCCTGGGATTATCAGAATAATGATAATAATTGCTGTGAGGAAGTGTTTGGAAGGTGACACCATCTCATGTGTCTGGGGACAGGACTGGGCTGTGTAGGAGAAAGTTGCCACCTAACTTTCAGAGGCACCAACAGCTGTCCGCTGGCCTCTCTCTTGCCCTTCTTTGACCTGTTCTTCCACCATGGGAAGACTATGAGGAAGGCCTCTCGGAGGTGCTGAGTCCTGTGACCACCTATGCCTCCCCTGCTAGTTCACCCGGCCTTTACCTCCTCATACCTGTCCCTGTGGTCAGATCTCCATGCTGGGGTCTGTGAAGCCTTTCTTCCCCTCGTTCACCAGCACTGGCTTCTCAGTCCGAGTGTGCCACACCAGGATCTGCGTTCAGAGATATAGCAGAGTGGGCAGGCCTTGCCCTGCCCCTCACTTCCTCCCACTCCCTGCCAGCATTTCTTCAAGCATTTCTATCCCCAGCTCAGCCCTTGTTCTGTTAAATTTTCTTGACTGTTTATCATTTCTTACCACCCCCTCATTCCTGCTATTTCTGCATGGTATGCATTCAAAGTATGTGCTGGAAGCTTGGTATCTGCTGCTACAGAAAGCAGACTAACAGGTTCCAAGATGGCCTCCCTTGGGTCTCTTGATGGGGATCTCTAGGGAGAGACAGAATCTTCAGGACAGCTTTGGCTCAGTCAACTCGTAGCCCTGGTCCTAGTCGGAAAAGTTCCAACTAAGAGTAGTGTATTTGTGTGTGTGATTCTTTGGCAGAGAGTCATGAAGCACAACGATTTTGAAGGTGGGACAAGGTCCTTGGTTGTGATTCACTGATTACTGCCCCATCCTACTTTAGTATGGCTGCCCTGTTGTTGTTGTTGTTAGGTGCCATCGAGTTGGTACCAACCCATAGCGACCTTATGCACAGCAGAACAAAACACTGCCCGATCCTGGGCCAACCTCACTACTGTTGCCACACTTGAGTCCATTGATGCTGCCACTTGGTCAATCCATCTCATTGGGGGGCTTCTTCTTTGTCTCTGACCCTCCACCTTACCAAACATGATATCCTTCTCCAGCGATGGGTCCCTCCTGACAATGTGTTCGAAGTATGAGAGATGAAGTTTGGCTATCTTGGCCTCCAAGGAGCACTCTGGCTGCATGTCTTCCAAAATGGATCTATTGGTTCTTTTCAGGGCGTGTTTTCCAGGGAGGACACTTTAAGGAAGGTATGTGTCTGGAGTCCTGGTGTGGCACTGTGGGTTAATGTGCCATCAGACTGCAAAGCTGTTTGAACTACAAGGTCGGTGGTTCAAGCTCACCAGCTGCTCCTCAGAAACCCTATACAGGGTCGCTATGGATTGGCACCGACTCGACAGCACCTCACAACAACAGCAATGTGTCTAGTCTATTGTCATGGATTGAAATGTGTTCCTTCCCCATGATGTGATTTGATGTGACCAATCATTTGTAAGGGGATTAGGGTGGGACGTAACACCCTTACTCAGATAGCAGCCCTGATGCCATGTCAGGGAATTTCACTGGGGTGGTGCCTGCATCACTTTTACAAGATAGAAAAGAAGTAAAAATAAGCAGAGAAAGATACAAGAGAAGAGTTGGGAGTGGAGCTTTTTTTTTGGTCTCAAGTGTTCTTGTGCTGAGAACTTCCTATCTGAGGGAAAGATTGAAGTCAAGATCCATGGAGCTCAACAAGGGATTCCAGGCCCATGGCTGTTGAAAAGAGACAAGGGCCTTCCCCCAGAGTTGACCGAGAAAGTATTCCCTTAGAACTGTCCCTGACTTGGACTTCTAGCCTCCTAAACTATGAGAGAATGAATTTCTGCATGTGAAAGCCATTGCCTTATGTTTTTCTGTTATAGCAGCATTAGATAACTTGGACAACTGGTTCTTATTTGCAAGGATATTTTGAGTTCTTATCTGTCAGGAAGGTTGGACATAGACTTGGGCATGTTTGCATTAGGGTGACCAGTTCTGCTGAGGAACCTACTTACCTTGGTGCAGTTGGCTGCCTTGGGCTCCAGGTCACTGAGGGTAACAAGTTCTCGAAGGAGGCTGCTTTCCTGGTAGCCACCCTTCACACCACGCAGTTTGAAGTAGGCCTGACTTCGCTGAAGAATAAGTCGCAGGTTGACGGCAAATCCAGCCATGTCTATAGCAAATGGTCGGTGAGGGTCAAACACTGTCTTCCAGCCGACCACCTTCCCTGCTCCATTCACCCGTGGGGCCTCGTACCGGAGGCCACCTACGAAGGCGACTGGCCACACAGACACCCTACGGGTGCTTCGCATCTACAAATGAAAACATCCACTGGTCAGTGTTAACCCCACTCCCTTATGTGGTAAATGTGTCAGTTCCCATACCTAGGGGCCTGTCCACGCCTGTAGTGTCTTCACGGGACCTGGCCTCTCAGACAAGCCAGTCTCCTCTTCACAACATGGTTCTATTCAATAGTTTCTCTTGCTTCAAGCCCTCTCGTGTTACCATTTAGAGCCGACTGACTCCCCGCCCTACACCTAGCTACCTTGCCCACAAACTGGAAAGAAGCCCACCGGAGGTTTCTTGCAGAATGACCCTACCCAAATCCCTTATCCTGCCAGTACCTCTCAGACCACGACTATGGATTTAGGAGCGTCACACACCAACTTTCTTCCCTAATTAGTGGGGGCTGCTTTCCTCCATTCCTTCTGTCCTTCTGCACTGACCCCCAGCATGGCAACCCTCCCTTTCCTGTTTTTTTCTTGTCTACTCACACCTGCAACGTCCCACCCAGAATACAGACCCGCGTCCCAAGCGGGCGAATCACCCACATCCCCAGACCACAAGATCCTGAGTCCATATCCTCAATCTCTGGTCCCGTTTCCTCCTTAGGCCCTTTTGACCCGTGATCTACCTCTGTGCCTCTCTCAGCCCCTGTCCCACCTCCTCGAAGAGCTCCAGGCTGTAGGTGTTGTCATCGTCTGCGAAGTAGACCACACCGGGCTGGCTGGAGTTGCGGGGGAAGGTCTCGCGCAGCCAGCGCAGTGCCAAGTTGCGTTGCATGGTGCCGCGGGGAATGCGCGGGTCGCGGGCGTCGCCACGCAGTTTGTAGTTTCGAGGCGTCTCCACGTGCAGATGCGTGTAATTGAGGCCTGTGTCACGCAGCAGGCGAGCTGTCAGCGGCGTGCGTCGGGGCGCATCCTCCACCACTAGCCAGTGTAGGTTGGGCACGTGCAACAATGTGTTGGCCATGCGCGTCAGCTCAGCCTTCTGTACTGGGCGGCTGTAAGTGGGCGTAACCACGTGGATAGTGGGCAGCGTGTCCGACCACGGCGGGGGCCGTGTGTACACATATTCAGTCCGGACCACCTCCACGATGTCGCGGTCGGACATGCAATACTCTCTGGGGTCCGCACCTGGCACGTTGCGCTTGGCATCACTTGCGTCATCTGCAGGAATGGTTGAAGAAGAGAATGCTAGAACTCGATCTGACTCCGCCAGGATACATAAAGGGTGCTTCCACGGCCCCTACCCCCCTTGTCTATCACGGTTTGCGTCCAGCCCTAAGTGTCTGGAGTTAAGTTGGCATCTACGCCCCTGTAGTTCTCCCGAGGATTTTCCAAGTTCTGACGCAGTAAAGAGTGACACAGAAATGGCCTCTTCCTGCTCCTTATAGTTGACAACACTCGAACTATTTGAATGTTACTGCCCATATTCTAGGTCTGCAACCTTGGTTCCTAAATATATGGGGATTTATACATGTCCACGTGTCCAGACCCTCATCAGCCTCGTTATGAGCAGTGGAGTCGGTTACCCCTCATTGCGACCCTGTACAGGGTTTCTGAGGCTGTAAATCTTTACCGGCGCAGAAAGCCTCATCTTTCTCCTGCGGAACAGCTGGTAGTTTCGAACTGCTGACCTTGAGGTTCACAGCCCAATTCGTAACCACTACGCTACCAGAGCAGTCACCTAGTAGCAGGCCCAGAGCCCAGGTGCTGCTATGCACTGGTTCAGGGCAGTAGAGAGCAATGGGACCACCAGTTTTCTGTGGGATAGAAGCTGTCAGGTCCATCCTTTGGGGTTGGGATATGTGGTTGCAGCACACTGTTGACTTCTAAGGAGCTTGCTGTGAGCACTCTCCATTTCTCCACAATCCATCTAGTCAAGCGGGATCATTCCCATCTGGCTTTATGTAATTAAGTCTTTGAATCTTGATGCATAACTTTAAACTACTGCATTTATTCCAGTGTATTTTGCCTGTAGTGTTCAAGGTAATTTTGCTGGTGCTGTGGGTTATGTGTTGGACAGTTAACCACAAAGTTTGTGATTCAAATCGACCAGCCACTCCCTCTGATGGAGAAAGATGAGGTTGCCTGCTCTTGTAAAGATTTATAGTCTTTGAAAGCCTACATAGGGTTGCTATGAGGCAGAATTACTTGATGGCAGTGAGTTTGGTTTCTTTGAATCTGTAGATTTCGAATTTAACTAGTCTTGCATTTGTGTAAGTAAAAGGGCACGGTGGAGACCTGTTTTAGCTCTTCTGTTGGTATGATGTCACTTTCATTTGAACATCTGAATATCTCCCTGTATCTGAGTATCTACCTGAAGCTAACTGTCTGATCATCCAGTCACTGTTCATCCATCTTCACCACATGATTATCATGGAAGGTCTTACAAAAACCCAGCCACAGGGAAGAGGCAGGATGGAGACTCATTACTCCTTGAAGGCAGCCTGCTCCAACTGAGGCAACTCTAATGCCACAACATTTATCATTACATCCTAGACATTTTCCTCATTGCTAAACCTAATAGTCCTATCAAGAAGAGAAATCAGGGCCACTGACATACTTGTTTTTAATGCATACTTTGTATCTAAATAACTTTTTTCTGTTTGAAGGACTTAGGCACTAACCTACTATTCACTATTCTCACACTATCTCAGCTAGAAATTGCCAGGCTTTGGAATTCAAATACCTTGGTTCTGTCACTGACCTACTTAACTTCTGGTGCCTCAATTTCTGCAGCTGTAAAATGGAGCTAATAATAGCATCTAATTTCCAGAGCTATTATGTGGCTTTGTGGGCTCAGACACTGGCTGCCCAGTTACTATCATTTCTTTGTCTATAGAATGAGGACAGTGGCCAGCCCTACTTCTTGCTGACTTCATGTGACTATGGGGAAGATGGAACTAGCAATGGGTATGGAATGGAATCATGGGAAAGACTCTGCACTAGCCAGTCTCTCACCTCCCCTGCATCCCACCATTCTCCTGAGTCATGTAGAGGATGTGCTGGCTGCCTAGTGAAATCGGAAGATGACCTAAAAGAGGACATGCCCCTGCCCCTGTTCTCAGGGAGCTCACAGGTGAATGGACGCAGGATACATGTGCTCTTGCTCCGAGTCCAGCACCAGGTCATAAATAAAGTTGAGGGAGCACAGGAGTGTTGTAGGGGTTCTGATGAGGGTCTACAGGTAAATTTGTAAGAGAAGTTTTGGAAACTGAGGCCTGAGAATGAGATTTAGAGTCATTCTACCCAATCTTCTGGCTCCTTCAGAACACTCATTCCAAACAGGGAGCCCTGCTCTCCCCTATGGAAGTTCCTGTGGAAAAGGACTCCGCTATTGCTCCTGCAACCTAGGACTCATGAGTCCGTCCAGCTAAATCTGTGATAATCTAAATCACAGAGCTTCCGCTTCCATTCACTCCCCTTGGCATGCCTGTGGGGAGACCAAGAGTGCCAAGTCTTCATTGTCTGGTAGTCACACCAGTGCCTAGCAGTGCAGTCTGCAGTCTCTGACTCACAAGCACTGTTAGGAATGGAATCAATAAGATAATACCCATGTGCAGAAGTGGGCAGTTCTACCTCTTGTGGAATAATGTACTCATCTAGTGATGATAATGCTAGAATAGCAAGAACTCAGATGGGGCAGCAGAGGCAGGGATCGTAGTCAGGGGCAAAGGATCTAAAGGCCCAGCAGTGGCTTCTAGCTAGGCCCTGTCTGGCTTCCAGTCAAGACACTCTGGGGGTGAGCAAGACATGCCCTTTGACTCTGGGAAGAGCGCAGTGGCTGTTGGATACCAGCAGCATCAGCATCACTGGGATAGACTCCCAGGCCCTACAATAGGCCCACTTCCTCTGGGACAGGCTTTCTTTATTCTATTACATGTCCAAGTAAGATGATGCACATTTCTATATGGGAATGGTCGGCCTAAAGACGGAACCTGTGCATGAGTATTGCTATAGAATCAGAGAAACCTTTCTTAAACAAAAATATCAAAAGTGAAGCTATTGTTCCTCAACATACCATCTATCGGGGTCTATATACTTCTTTTTATTTTTAAATTGTGATTTGAGTGAAATTTAATAGTGCAAATTGGTTTTCCATTCAACAGTTCATACGCAATTTGTTGTGTGACATTGAGTGCAATCCCCCAACTGTAACAGCATTCTTCCCACTGCCTCTGTGTTTGCCATTTCCCTTTGTCCTTCTTTCTTATCCTTTCCTGCTTTTTGAGCTTTATCCCTGAGCAAATTCTGTCCTTTTGATCCAATATGGTTAGTTGTTCTGAGTGCATAGCTCCCTGGTGTTATTGTTCACCTCATGGACATATTAGTTGGCTTCAGCTGAGTCAAGGAGGTTAAATTCAGTTTTAGGCCTGAAGAATGTAAAAGACCATAGACCCAGGGTTTACACCAATCACTATCCAACAGAAATAAGTATTGTCTTTTTTTTTTTTTTTTTAAGCTTTGTTCTACATTTTTCTTCTACTCTATCCAAGACCTTCTATTGTGGTTTGTGTCAGAGTGGTCAGCAGTGGTAGCAAGCACCATCTAGTTCTTCTAATCTCAGGGTTGTAGAGGTTGGGGTTAACATAGTCCATTAACCCTTTGGAGCTTTTGTGTATTTTTTTTTTTTTTTTTGCATCTTTGATTTTCTTCACTTTTCTTTGCTCCGGACGGGGAGAGACCAATAGTTACACCTTAAATGATCACTTACAAACCTTTAAGTCTCCAGATGTTACTCAGCCAAGTAGGATGTAAAACACTAGCAGAACATTTGTGGACTAAGTTATGCTAATTGCAGATCTATACACTTCTGAAGGCGGTGTTTCTATCTCTCTAACCCTTCCCTGAAGAATTCTGTGCTCTTTGATTTATAGCAAGTCAAAACAGCAGTTTGACATCCTTAAAGGATGCAAATCATATTCATTTTCACTGTTCTTTGAGTTTTGGGATCAAAAAGTCTGAAGGTATAAGATCAGGGCTGCAAGGTGGATGGGGTAAGGTATCCCAATGAAATTCTCATAGTCCAGCCCTTGCTACTGTCAAAGAATGAGCAGATGCATTTTTGTGATGGAAAAAAAAAATATTCCTCAATGTAACTTTCCTGGCATTTTTCTTCCCAATGTTCTTAATTTTCTTAAAACTTTTTTTGTAATAAGCCTCCATGATTGTCTTGTGTTCTTTGAGGAAATCTATCAATATTACACCTTTGGGATACCAGAAATGCATTGCTACAATCTTCTGAACTGACCTCTCTGCCTTGAATTTAATTGGCCCAACAGATGCCCTTAGAAATAACTGTTTTAATTGAACCTTTGTTTTGAAGATGTCCTAATGAAACTAAGACAAGTGTATTACTGAAAGCGTGTCTGTAGTCAGCCACTGATTTTAGAGACAGATTTACATACGTTTTGTTTAGAATAAAACTGTGCCTGTATGAACTAGAACTCTAGCAGCAAGACTTTTGGACCAACTCTCATATGTAGGTGGGAGGGAACAGAAGAGGAGGTGATAGTAAAAACTAAGGAATTGGAACTCAGGCTTGGCGAAGAGCAGATGGAAGGTTTGGGGTGTAGGGAGCCTGGTGTACAAAGGGAGAAGCAACCCTGTAGGCTCAGAGCCAGGATGAAAGGCCCCAATTCCCTCTCTTGTTCTTCGTAGACTCTGAGAGACTTTTCCATTTTTCAGGCCTGTTTGTACTTGGGAGGACTTGGACCAGATTTTCAAGCAAGAAAGGAGGAGAAAAAATATTAACCTTGAAAGTTTTAAAAACTCTGTCCCTTTCTTCCCCCAACCCAACAAAATGCTGAGAGTGTGTCTGGAAGTGTGTTTCTGTGATGTGTGTGTCTGAAGGTGTGTCTCTGTGATGTGTCTCTCTGTATATCTGCATATGTCTGTGTGTGTTTGTATGTCTATGTGTGTCAACTTTCATGACAGTCTCCAAGGGGCCCAAGATCTTAAAAAGGGTGAATTCATTGCCTAGATGATCCTTACAGTTTTTCCTAACTGTTTAGTGTGTTGTTAGCTGCCATTGTGCTCATCAAAGAAGCCGTTGGGGACAGGGGACGGGGGCAAGACTCACCCTTGTGCACGGTGAGCAGGGGTGCGATGGTGCTCTGGTGCCAGACAGTGATGAGTAGTGTCCAGGGCAACACAATGAGGATGATTGCAAGGATGTCCCGTCTCTTCGGCATCTCCAAGGCTGGCTGGGCCCACAGCTCCTCATTACCTGAGTGGTGGCAAGGTTAGGAGAGGGGCGGCAGCAAAGGGAAGAAAAGAAAAGGAGTGGGCCAGGCTGGCCAGGCAAAGAGAGGGCAGAGAAGCCGAAATGTTGGCTAGCAGATCTTACCAGCACTCACAACCCACCCATTGCGGAAGCAGGTTTGGAGAATCCAGCCTGGTTAGAGTCTGAGGAGAGGTGGCCGTCAGGGATGAGGTCGGGAACCCTGGGAGGGAGATACCTGCAGAGACAGCAGAAGAGCATAGTCAGAGACCTAGGCATGGGTGAGGGGTACCAAGAAAGGCTGAGATGCACAGGAGTGAGATTGTCAAAATGGAAACTTGTTGACGAGCTGTCTCACAGATCCAGTCTGTCTGCTTGTTGAGTGACTGAGCCCGCTTCATCAGGGACATAGCCTAGGTATACTGAGGAGAGCCAGTGGGTGCAGGGGTGGAGGGCACAGACCTTGGTGATACACAGCTCTGGTTAAAGTCACAATTCTGCATCCAAAAAGCTATGTGACTTTGGACATGCTATGTCAAAACTCTTTGCCACAGTTTCCTCATATATAAAATGATGTAACATCAGTACCTACTTCACAGAGTAGATCTCAGGACTAGGTTGGGCTCTGACTGGGTTTTCTAGAGACTGAATAAGGGATCAGAGCTAGGGTGAGTCTTTGGAAGACAAAGAATAGACGGTTTAGGGCTTGGTACTGGGAAGAAATTCCAGGAACACCCTTCCTTGGATATTGCCAATAGGAAATTCTGGTGGAGTGCTGCTCTGTGCAGGACTGCATATCAGACACTGGAGCTGGGGTCACCATGGGGAAGAGCTGGCCCTGGAAGATGGCCACATTGTGTGGAAACAGCACTCAAACCTGGTGGCCGCAGCTAGACTCCAGGATAGGTATCCATTCTGTGAGGAGCATGATCCTGACTTGAATTCTCATTCAGCTCAAGGAGTCTGCAGGGGTATCTGCTGAGTTATTCCCTCATGTGAAGAGGGTTCAGAGGGCAGATGGATGAACACAAGGTGGGGTCTACCTCGCATGACTACTGTGATTACTGTCACATTATGCCCTCTTCCTCCTTCCTTCTACTTGGGTGCTGGGCTCCATGTGAAGTTCAGATTGTGTGTGTGTAGTGGTGGTGGTGGGGAGGGGCAAAGGTCACCTGCCCAGAGGTGCTCACAGTCCCAGGTCCCAGCAAAGGCCACACACCTGTTTTATGTACTTTCATCCTTGACAAAGAGGACTCTTGGCCCCACAGAATTAGAAATAGTGTGCTTTCCTTTGCTTCTCTGCTCTTCTCTCCAATGTTCTCACACCTTAGGAATGTGCTAGGTATTGTCTCCCTTGAAAAGAGCATTGTAGTTTCTGAGGTCAGATAGCATCCTCCCATTACCATCAAAGGCCCCCTCTGTCTCCAGAGTGCTGTTGTCTGCAGATGGTGGACAGTCATAGCCAGCTCACTGAAATGGGTGATCAGTGGGGCTAAACGTCATCCTAGAGGTCAAACCAACACACAGGATACAGCTGCCATTCAGAGGTATGTATGCATGTGTGTCTATGTATGTGTATGTGTGTGAGAGTGTCTGATTTGGGACTATGAGACCAGACAGCAGTTTGGGATATTTTACATCTTAACCAGTTTACATCTTTACCAGATACTTTATTAGGAGTTCTCTTCTTTCTTACCCTCCCTGTTTACTAAAAGTAAGTTCTGAGGAAAGTTCTAGCTGCTTTAACAATGGCTCAGTAGATTTACAAACAGTGGAGTTAGCAAACTCAGAAAAGGTCCAACTTCTTGGGTTACGATGAGGAAGACAGCAGAGAAACCTCTAGACAACATGCAGTGTGTTGCAAAGGAAAGAGTGCTAGGCCAGTTGTCTGGAGATGACCATATCTTTGAGCAAGTCATTCCTCCTCTGCCTTAGTTTTCACTTCTCTGAAGTACGAAGAGAAAAAAAAAAACATTGGTAGTACAGTTCCAATTTATACATGCATGGGTTTATTTCAAACAAAACGTGCTTAAATATGTGCCTGCAATCAGTGGATGACTGCAGACAAACTCTCAGTAATATACTTGTCTTAGTCTCATTAGGGGAGCCTGGTGTGGCTTTGCTGGATAAGCCCTGGACCACAAGTTCGCTTTGAATCACAGGTTGGCAGTTCAAACTCACCAGCTGCTCCTCAGAATCCCTATACAGGGCCACTATGAGTCGGAAACTACTTGATGGCATTTAACAACAACAACAACAGTCTCATTAGGGTGCCTTCAAAATTAGGATCCAATCAAAATAGTGACCTCCTAAGGGATCTGCTGGGCCAGTTAAATTCAAGGCAGAGAGAGTAGATCAGAAGTTTATGGAAATTGTTTTCTGTGATCCCAAAGGGTGATCTTGGTAGATTTTCTCAAAGAACACAGACCCATCATAGAGACTTATTATGAAGAAGTTTTAAGAAAACTGGTTTAAAAAAAAGAAAAAAAGGCCAGGGCAATTCATCTGCGTATTCTTTGAGTGGAGGAAGGACTGGCTGCTGAGAATTCCTTTGTGAAACCTTACTTCATCTACCTTACAGACTTGATCTTGCCCTTCAGACTCTTTTGATTACCAAATTAAAAAATATGGAAAAGGTATATTATATCTAGTCCTTCAAGGATGCCCAAACTGCTATGCTGACTTGGTATAAATCAAGGAGCAAAGAATTCTTAAGGGAATGGTATTTTTCACTGCCATCAAGTTGGTTCTGATTCACAGCCACCTGCGTAGGGTTTCTGAGGAGTGTCTGATGGAACCACTAACCTTGCGGTTCCAACTGACCTGTGGTCCAGTGCTAATCCTACAGCGCCACACCAGGACTCCAAGGGGAAGAGTTAGAGAGATGCAAACACCACCTTCAGAAGTGGGTAGACCTAAATGGATGATATAGTGAGAAACAATAGCTTCACATTTTTATATTTATGTTTAATAAAGGTTTCTATGATTTTGTAGCAATATTTTTTTTATTTATTCTTTTAAAAAAATAATTCTTTATGCCAAGTGAACATATCTTACTAGCTTTGTTATATATTACCTTTCCCATCATCTAAGTTACACATGACTCCCTTCTAACCAGAGTTCTGCTGTGGCACTGTATGATACACACTCAATAGCAAGATCGGGCTCTTTGGAAACCCAATACAAGGTCGCTATGAGTCAGAAATGACCAGGCAGCACTTAACAACAAACCCTCTAACCAGTGAATTATTCTCCTTTCCCTTCTACTCCTGGTAACCCACAAGCAATGTTTCTTTTAGTATGAAAATCTTTTGCTTTTTATAATAGTGGTTTCATACAACATGTTTCCTTTTGTGATTGACTAATTTCACTCAACATACTGTCCTCCAGGTTCATCCATGTTGAGATGTTCTGCAGATTCTTCGCTATTCTTTAATGTTGCATATATTCCACTGTGTGTATACACCAACATTTGCTTAACCATTCTTCCGCTAATGGGCGTTTAGGCTATCTCCATCTTTTTGCTATTGTGATTAGTGCTGCCATGAATATGGTTCTTATTTCTTGAGGATATATATCTAGTAGAGGAATTTCCAACTTTTTGCGGAAGGACCATACTGTTTCCCACAATGGCTATACCATTTTACAATCCCACCAGCAATGTTTTACAATCCCAGTCTTTCCACGCTGCAGCCAGCATTTGTTTTCTGAGTTGTTTTTTTTTTAAAAACTTGGCTATTAATGCTGGGTAAGATGATGTTTCATTGTTGTTTTGATTTGCATCTCCCTAATGGCTAATGATTGCAAGTATTTCTTCATGTTTGTTGGCCATTCATATCTTCTTTGGTGAAGGGTCTCTGATTGTGTCCTCTGCTCATCATTTGTTAGTTGGGATATCTTTTTCTTGTTGGGGTGAAGTTTTCTATAAATTTCAGAGATTTGTTCCTTGTCTGATAATGTCATTGCCAAACATTTCCCCTGGTCTGTGGATTCTCTATTGCTGAAATCTTTTGATGCACAGAAGTATCTAATTTTTAGGAGGTCCCATTCTTTATCTTCTGCTGTTTGTGCGTTATTAATTATGCTTGACAGTGTATTTGTGCCATGTATCAGAGCTCCTAAGTTTGTCATTATTTTTTCATTGATGAGCCTTATAGTTCTAAGGTTTTCATAGTTCTGGCAAAGATTATCAGCACTATATTAAATTTGTTGTTGTTGTTAAGTGCCATTGAGTCAGTTTTGACTCATAAAGACCCTGTATAGGTTTTCCGAGGAGTGGATGGTGAATTTGAACCACCGAATTTTCCATTAAAACATACGTTTTATCTTATACTTATAAAACATAAGTGCTTATCTTACAGAATTAATAATAAAGGGTGACCTTCTGTGGTTTCTGTTTGCAAGGGGAATGCTTTCAATCTCTCTCCATGGAGAGTAATGTTGGCTGTTGTTTTTTTAATATATGTTCTTAGTTATGTTGGAGTCCTGGTGTGGTGCTGTGGGTTAGTCGTGCTAAGAATTTCCCTTCTATTTCTATTTTGTTGCATGGTTTTTGTTTTTTTTTTAAATCAGAAATGGGTGTAGGATTTTGTCAAGTGCATTTTCAATATGATCATGTAGTTCTTTTCCTTTGTTTTATTTATGTGGTGGATTACGTTGATTGTTTGTTTAATATTGAGCTATCCTTGTATACCTGGCATGACTCCCACTCGCTCACGATGTATTAATTTATTGGTATGTTGTTGGACCCTATTAACTAGGAATTTGTTGAGAATTTTTCTATCTATGTTCATGAGAGATATTGGTCTATAATTTTCTTGTTTAGTGATATCTTTACTTGGTTTTGGCATCAGGGTTATGCTCACTTCATAAAATGATTGTGGGAGTTTTCCATTTTTTTCTGTGTTCTGTAATAGTTTGAGTAAATTTGGTGTCAGGTTTTCTCTGAATGTTTGGTAGAATTCATCAAAAAAGCCACCTGGGCCTAGATTTTGTTGCTGT